TCCCCAGGAGGAGGTGGCCCAAATTGCTGGGGAGAGGTAAGTTTGGGCTTATCGGCTTAGGCTGCTGCCCTCTTGACCCGACTCCAATGGATAAGTGGCTGAAAATGGATGGACGGACAAAAATGAATTTAGATTACAGGTACATTAATGGACACATTTAAAAGTGACAGTGTGTATTTTTCCTGGCAATGGGGGCAGTAGGTACCTAAATCACTGCAGGTAAGTAGTATTTTGGTGTTGGTGTAAGACCTTATCAATGGATGCCCATTAGGGTCAAAAACACCTGGGGACTGCAAACTTCAGCAAAATAACGAGCACATCAGATTCCCTTTCATCACTGGCAACAAGTAAAGAGGAAAATGTGTAAAACAACATTTGTGAATGGTGAAAATTTGGTAACCGTTTGTTACAAACCAGTAAACGCATTTTGACCTCACGGGCTCCCGTAGGAGGAAATATGGCATCTAATATGGCGCCGCCCAGAGACTTAAACCTGCTCCCATGTATTTTAGACCAGATTTTTATGGTTACATGTTACGAAGCCGCCAATATTTTTCAACAACTGGGCATCATTTCATTCATTTTCACCAACATTTTGATGGATATTTCCAGAGATTAATGGTAAAAACTACACGTTGTCTCTTTAAGAATGTTCTTCTAAAAGGGTATACTAAAAAGTTACTTTTAATAGTAATGCATTACTTTTTGCAGTAAGTAACTGAGTTACTTGCTGAAGAAGGTAACAAGTGAATGTAACTAGTTACTTTTTCCAGTGATGAGCACTGGTCAGCACCAAAGGGGTTTGTTGCTGCCCTAAACAGGTTTAGATGAGAAGTTTGTGCAGTGACATTCTGTCTCACTGACTTAAATGTCTCCAGGCTCTGACCAATCAACCAGTAGGCTTCTGAGGCACTGGTGCTGCCCCTCCAGCGAGCTGCAGCACCTGTCGCCACGGACTGATAAACCATTCCACCCGCAGCATTTATCGCATACACATTAAAGGATTTGGGTTTTCCAAGGAAGCGTGTCTATTCACACTCCCAGGTGCTGTAGCCGTGACCGTGTAATCCAAAATTTCTGGTCCAGGTTTATAAAGTAGTGTTGATGAATACAGGAGCCATCTGGGCTAAAAATAACAAAAAGAAATAAACAATATAAATAAGACAGCAATAATGAGCAGCAACCAAAGAGTGTATCCAACAGGTTGTTGTGATGTCTACGGTGATAAGGTCTGCCCCCTTTGATACTGTGCTACGCTAATCCACTTTCATGGCACATATTCAGGTTTCCATGGCGAGCTCTTTCCACTTCACAACACAGAACCAACATCTTTCCACTGCAGGGCTGCTGATCTCTCACATCCGTTTAATTGTCCACTCATCCAGCCTTTACGCTGCACAGAAAAACGAGCGGCTGAAATCGTTTAGTGGAAAAGTTGAGACAATCCACATTTGTCTGATGTGTTTTTGAAAAAGCATGCGTGGAAAACCGTGGCTTGAATGCATCAAGAATGAAAAAAAGTGCCTAAAAGGATCACGCTCACCTTTCAGCCTGAGATAAGATGTGCACAGTCCGAGTGTGGCCATGCAATGATTGTTTGACCATTCTCTCTTCTTTAAACAAGGCTCCAAGGTGAAGCTGACACAAGCCACTGTGCCCAAAAACACACACCCATGTTACACCCAAACAAATTCCCTGTAAAGCATTGCACAAATATGCAGATTAGCACACGTGGACTCCATCTGGGATTACCCGAGGTAACGTTTTCTGTCTTAAAGCTGGGAGAGAAAGGTGCAGCCTGCTGGTGAGGTTTAGCAGCTTGCGTTTACAGTCTAAACGCAAATTCAGCGCTGAATCTTTCACCATCACTCATTACTGGTTAAGTACATCCAACGGCACAGAAACTCTGTTTTAACCAAGAAGTGACAACAGCGGCTCTGACTGTGAGTCACCTGAGGTTCTCCATTTCTGCTCTGGCCGGATGAAAGAGCGGTGAGAAACAGACACGCGGCTGCAGACATGACAGCACGGCCAAAAGGGATTCAGCTAACAGGAAGGAAGGTGTCGTGAGTCACAACCTCACTAGATTATGCCTCTGAAGGAGTTTGAATTTCATCGCTTCAAGTAAAAAGCGTTCAAAGAAAAAAATCTGTCCATTTTAGTTAGATTTATTTCTAATAGCAAAGCATTCATAGAGTAAATTAAAGCTGTTGTTTAAAGCTGTGGGAAACCCATTGAATCAATACATTTGCAGTGGTCTCTGGTAGGAATGACTGCCTTGCAAACCAAACCGGGGCAAAATAAAGCCCAGAATCGCTTGGATTAGCACGGACAAGTCTGCTGCTGCAGAGTGGCAGCAGGTGGCAGGTGTTGGAGTCTTTTTTCCTGATATGTGGACATCTCGCCTCAGATTGGATAACACTCTACCGCTGACTTGAATCGTGGGTGTTTTATCTTTACAAATACACACGTCTGGAGGAGTTCTGGCATGTGGTGAAGTTGCTAATGCTAACGGTTAGCTTTTACTAGCTGGGCTAGTCTTTTCCGGAGCGCTAAACCAACAACAACCTTCCCCGTCACGGGTCAAGAAGGGTGAGTCCATGAACGTTAAGAGATTTTCATACCCTAGAGTTTCACCATTTGTTTTCTTGCAGAAGCTAATGCAGGAGATTGGTGTAGGAGACTATTTTCATGTCCAGCCTTCGTGAAAACTCAGAGTGACTGATTATAATCAGAAATTATTATTATTTTATTATTGTTTTTCTGTTAGCCACATCTTTACATTTTGAAAACTTTAAAACATCAAACAACTCTGGTTGAAGATCAGAAAACACCTGCAGGAGGACTCAGGTGATCCACAAGCCAAGGCTGCTTCTAAGTAAGGCAAGCATTAAATCATTTTAAATGAATGAATCAATGGCAATAAATCCAACTTTCTTAGACTACCTAGTTCATTTCTCTTCTGAGACTGACGTTCATATCCGAGCATTTATGTTTTTAGATATTATCATTATTATAATCATCTATTTGTTATAGTCTTCCTCTGAAAGCCTCTCAGACAGTAATGTCTGTGAATCATTTTGTCAACAATCAGCTAAAGTCTTGAAACGAGTCAAACCGTCATCCTGCAAACATCAGTAAACGCTAAAACCACCCTATTGTGTGATCACTAGAGTACTACTGTACACGTGACGTACTCGAAACGTGCAAAAGCAGTTTTCCATCAATTTAAATTTACTTTTGGAAAACACAAGAAAGCGGGACCTGTTGTGAAGTTCTATTCCTCAGACAGGTTTCACTGTAGAGACATCATTTAAAGTTTTAGTGGGACATAAAAAGTTTGACTTTATATGACTGAGATCAAGGGTGCAGATAGGATTTTCAAACTGTGGGGGGGGGGGGGGGGGGGGGGGGGACAAAGTTCCAATGTACCCTCCCCCAAACACATACGCACACGCACGCACGTACACATACACAAACAATTGCAAGAGCCTTAACCAGGGTTCAGTCAGTTTGTGTAATTTCATCCAATGGTTTACAAAAAAACTAACACTATTTTACAGGTCCTTCTCAAAAAATTAGCATATTGTGATAAAGTTCATTATTGTCTGTAATGTACTGATAAACATTAGACTTTCATATATATTAGATTCATTACACACAAATGAAGTAGTTCAAGCCTTTTATTGTTTCTAACATTGATGATTTTGGCATACAGCTCATGAAACCCCAAAATTCCGATCTCAAAAAATTAGCATATCATGAAAAGTTTCTCTAAACGAGCTTTTAACCCAATCATCTGAATCAACTAATTAACTCGGGGGAGGATCGGAGTCAATCTGAATCTGGGGGGGGGGGGACGGATCCCCCCATCCCCCGCCCTATCTACGCACCTGAGTGAGACGGTACTTTGACATATTTTATGGTTTTATCACAATCAGGCTCTAAGTTTAGTTTTTAATTTAGCAATTTTGCCACAGAATGTTCAAATCTGTTCACTCGCCAACATTCAAGATGTCCTCATAGGGAGACTAAACCGTTTTGGCTTGCTTTACGCACCCCCTAGAGTCCGTTTGTAGAACCAAAAGCAAAACCTATCTCACTGTGCATTTGTCTTTTTAACTTCCTAATCTGACAGCTGAAATATCTCCCCAGCATTTCTCAGTGTCTACAGGAGTGATTCATCACTGAATTACACCAATCAGCAGTGCGTGAAATGTGCTGGAACCAGACTGCAGTGCTAGGTATGTCAGCTCCATTTTTTTAAGTCCCAACAAACAAGATTGGTAACTCGGAAGTTGCAAGTGGAATATCCTGGCCACTGGGGGCGATAGGGGCTGGGTTGCCTTCCTTTAACCCAGTAACGGGTCATTTTAGCACATATTGGCTCAAGACAATGATTTAAAAACATGAGAAAGTATCCCTTTAAAACCAAAAGTGTCTGTTTTTGTCAGTGTAAAGTTACCATGGTGACATGAATGAACCACTGGCTGCAGCTGTAACAATTCTTTATTAAGTTTGTTTTCTTTGCACTTACATAAAACTGTGGTTAATTAAAATATCACCACACTCCCAGATGAAGACCGATCATGGGCTGATCTATCCAAAAGTTACTCCGAGTTGTTTCAGTTTACCATTCTGATGACTTTGAACCAAGTACTTGGTGCTCGACTCGGACACTAACACCAGTGACTTTTCTTTAGTCCATTCAGCTGAAAATACCCGACTATAAAATAATTTTTACCAGAAAATTCAACATCAGCTCTCCTTTTTCTGCTTCTGTTAGATAAAAACACCTTTTATGATGCACTTGTGCATTTTAAAAGTGACTAACCACTGCTCCAAATCACAAATTTAGGAATGAAACGTTACCGTTTTAAAACTTGGATTTGCCCCTGGCGCTGGTCTGTTTCTGGTCACTGTGATTTAGTAAAAGAAAAACAATCTTCAGACATTCACTTTTAAGCGAAGGTTATAGGAAGACAAAAGAGCCAAAGTCATCAAATCTGATCAGATTTATTGAACAGACGTTCCAGTTTCCCTGTTAAACTACAAATTACAAACATGTCTGCTGCTTTAATCACTGACACAACCTACAGCAAACCCACCATCTACATACAAAAATATAAACAGGACACACAAAACAAGGCATTTCTGCCACAGCGCTAAGACCCATGCTGCCCCCTGGTGTACCGGCCTCACTGCTGACTCTCAGGATGAAGCCCTGAAAGAATAATATCCTGAAAGACCTCTGTGACATCACAAAATATTAATCTGAGAAAATTTGCAGCAGATCACATTAAACAAACATGTGTGATAAACACAAACCAACAACAGAGCTAAATGTGGCTTCAGGACATCGTTTTAATGTCCAAAATATAAAAGGAAATATATAAAACGCTGAAATATTATTTCTGACATTACCTTAATTTCACTTCACATTTAAAAAATACAAGAATGACCAAAGTTGTTCTTTAAATCATTTTAAATCCAGTTATAGTTTCCTGATGCATCACTGTGAGACATCCTCCAACACGCAACGCTGACAAGAAAGTACAAATGAAAGAACAACTACAGTGGGTACAGAAAGTATTCAGACACTCGTCAATTTCTCACACTTTATGTTGCAGCCGTTAGCTAAAATCAATTAAATTCTTTTTTCTGCATTAATGTACAAACAGCACCCATGTGGACAGAAAAAAATGAGACATTCCTGTAGATTTATTAAAAAAAGACGAACTGAAACATCACATGGTCCTAAGTATTCAGACCCTTTACTCAGGATTTAGTGGAAGCACCTTTGAGCTAACAGCCACGAGTCTTCTTGGTAGAGATGCAACAAGTCTCTTACACCTGGGTTTGGGGATCCTCAGGCCGGCTCTGGCTGGGCCATTCAAGAACGGTCACAGGGCTGCTGTGAAGCCACTCCTTCGTTATTTTAGCCGTGTGCGTAGGGTCGTTGTCATGTTGGACGGTAAACCTTCGGCCCAGTCGGAGGTCCTGAGCACTCTGGAGAAGGTTCTTGTCCAGGATACCCCTGTACTTGGAACACTCTTCGTTCCCTCGATTGCAACCAGTCGTCCTGTCCCTGCAGCTGAAATACACCCCTACAGCATGATGCTGCCACCGCCATGCTTCACTGTGGGGACTGTATTGGACAAGTGATGATATACCGCTTAGAATTAAGGCCAAAAGTTTTATCTTGGTCTCATCAGACCAGAGACTCTTATTTCTCACCATCTCAGGGTCCTTCAGGTGTCTTTAAGCAAACTCCACGCAGGCTTTCGTGTCTTGCTCTGAGGAGAGGCTTCCGACAGGCGGCTCTGTCATAAAGCCCTGACTGGTGGAGGGCTGCAGGGATGGTTGACTTTCTACAACTTTCTCTCATCTCCTGACTGCATCTCTGGAGCTCAGACACAGTGATCTTTGGGTTCTTCTTTATCTCTCTCACCAAGGCTTTCTGCCCCCGGTAGCTCAGTTTGGCCAGATGGACGGCTCTAGGAAGAGTTCTGGTCGTCCCAAACGGCTGCCATTTAAGGATTATGGAGGTCACTGCGCTCTTAGGACCCTTTAGTCCAGCAGAGATGTTTTTGTGACCTTGGCCAGATCTGTGCCTTGCTACAGTAGTCTCTCTTCAGGCAGGATTCTCATTCGCTCTGACATCATGGTGAGCTGTAAGGTCTTATATAGACAGGCGTGTGGCTTTCCTAATCAAGTCCAACCAGTGTAACAAACACAACTGGACTCATGAAGATGTAGGACCATCTGAAGGACAAGCAAAAGAAATGGAAAGCACCTGAGATAAATTTATGAGTGCCACAGCAAAGGGTCTGAATACTTAGGACCATGTGATATTTCAGTTTGTCTTTGTCAATAAATCTGCAGAAATGTCTTAAATTCTGTGTTTTAATGTGTGCTGTGTGTGCATTAATGAGGGAAAATGAATTTTATTGATTTAATCAAATAGCTGCAATATAAAAAAGTGAAAAATTGACGGTGTCTCAATACTTTCCACTGTTTAACTCATTTTCCTCTGCGTCATAAGGCTTGCTCCTGAAATGATAATTTAAGATGGCTGTCATGTTCCCACAGTGTTCCTTTTCCTTGCATAACAAGTATCTGCTGCAACTTAAACACCAAGGCTCTGCAGGAGGTGAGGGGAAACATCTCAGTTGTGCTTTCATGTGACGTGACTATCATCATGCTTGTGAAGGTCCTTCTGTATCCAGAACCATTTCTGGGTCATAAAAGAGTCGAACGTTCCTCTTTTCTCTGGGTTTCCTCAGTGCAGAGCGATGAAACCAGTGTCTGGTGGATCACCCAGAACCAGGGTGCTGCGGCTGAGCGACGGTGATGGAGAAGCCAGGCGGAAGGCTGGGTTGATCGAGTGCAGGGAGTCCCTGTTTCTGCGTTTGCTGAACGGGGGACAGGAGGGGTTAGCCGCGGCCCGGCGGTCATGCTGCCGTGAGCAGCCAGGGGAGAGCGACGGCTCTGCCAGGGCGCTGGAAACCTCCAGGACCAGAGGGATGGTCTTCGGGGTCCCTGCAGGGCACAGGCCATGAAGGTCAGAGGAGTTGACCATCCTCTCCAGCATGTCCTTTGTGCTCTGAGTGCACTGTGTGGAGGGAGAGAGAGAGAGAGGTCAGGGAGGACAGCAGGAGTGGTTTCAAGAGTAACTCATTCTCACAGAGAGAAAGAGAGGAGAGGCCTGAAGACAACACTGTCAAAGGTTCACACAGAAGCATGAAGTGATTCAGTTACTGCCGATCAGAACATGCATGCAAACCCTGTTCCTGGGAACGCTGGGAAGTTTCCCCAAGATGCAACAAAACCTCATATAAACTTTAAGAAACATGTAGAAGAGGAATGATTTTGAGTGTACCAACAAATAAATGCAATTTGAAAAATCATGGATTTAATGTTTGAGACAATCTGAAGAAACAAGGTGAAGGAGGGTTTACGGCAATGAGATAAAGAGGAGGAATCAGTGAAATACAGGGGAGGTGCTAGACTAAACGGGGGTCCGTTAGAGGGGCACAGATTTTGGTGGGTAATTACAACAATATAACACATAACTATAACAAATAAGTCCGTTACTTTAGATTTTTTTAAAAAGCTGCTCGTTAATTTAAAATATTCAGCAAAAATGTGTAATCCAAGTTATTTATATCAGTGAAAACAAACTATTTTTCTCAGCATCTCTTTTCAATTAACTATAAATGCATTCACATGCTTTAGTTCTACAACCTGCATTAGGCTAAATAATCACAATCAATCAATCAATCAATCTTTATTTATAGAGCGCTTTCCACCACCCTCAAAGGGGGCCCAAGGTGCTGAACGGGAAAAGACAAAAAGTGGTAGCAAGTCATAAAAACACTAAAAACAAAAATAAGAACATAAGACATTACTGAGAACAATAAAATGCAAATGAGATCAAATTTAGATAAAAGAAAATTAGTTAAAAGAAAGCTAAGAACAAAAACATAAAACCCAGAAACCAAAAGCTTTAGGAGAAAGCCGTCCTATAAACACGAGTCTTGCTCTTAAAGACTGCCAGTGATGGGGACTGTTTGATTGTGAGCAGGAGTTGGTTCCAGAGAGAGGGTGCAAGGACTTGAAAAGCCGATTACCACGAGTCTTAAATCGGGTGTGAGGGACAATATGCAATTTCTGGTCAGCGGACCGCAATGACCTTAATTAAGAGCTCCGCTAAGTAGGTGGGGGCACTGCCTTGGAAAAACTTCAACACAAAAAGCAGAATTTTTAACTGTGCCCGATAGGAGACTGGTAGCCAGTGAAGGGAGGCCAACAATGGAGAAATGTGGTCCCTTTTAGTTCCAGTCAAAAACCTAGCTGCACTGTTCGGAACTAATTGCAGGTGATGCACAATAGTCTGACCCAACCCAGCATAGGGAGTCAATTGTCAAGCCTAGAGATCACAAACGCATGGAGTACATGCTCCAAGTGAATTCTGGAAAGAATATGCTCGAGTTTGGTAAGGTGACGTAACTGAAAAAAGCACAATCAAGTCTCACCCCCAGGCTAGTGAAAACTGGCTTCTGCAGAACCTGAATCTGAGCTGCAGCTTGGGTGAAACACGATAAATTCTGTTTAGGTCCTTTAACGTACAGGAAATTAGCTGCAAGCCATGGCTTGACCTCATTTACACAGGTCTCAAGGTTTACAAAAGAAGCTCCCTTCCCCAGAGACAGTGAAGAATAGATCTGGCAGTCATCAGCGTATAAGTGGAACTTAATGCCATGTCTGCTGAAGATGGACCCCAATGGCAACAATAAATTGCAAAAAGCAGTGGTCTGAGAATTGAGCCCTGCGGAATCCCCCCGGTGCAGAGCCTCCCAAGAAGAAAGAGCTTACCCCAATCTCACACAGAACCTCCTACCATGTAGGTAGAAGAAAAACCATTCAAGGGCAGACCCAGTGATCTCTAAACATAGTTCCAGGCGATCAAGCAGTGTATCATAGTCCACCGTGTCAAACGCTTCCGTAAGGTCCAATAAAAGAAGTGCCACAGAAAAACCCAAAGATATATAAATGTCATTCAAGACCCTTAGCAGGGCCGATTCAGTGCTGTGTCCAGGCCTAAATCCAGACTGAAAAACCTCAAATACATCAGAGTCAGATAAGCGAGACACCAGCTGCTGGTAAACATTCTTCTCCAAAATTTTAGAGGGGAAAGGGAGGGTGGAGATGGGCCTATAATTGTCCAGCACTGAATCACCAGCACCAGTTTTTTTTGAGGATTGGACGCACCACTACGGATTTCAATGAGGATGGAACAACCCCAGAGCTCAGGCTATTTATAATGGCTCCAAGAAATGGGCCCAGGACTGAAAAAGCCTCCTTGCAGAGGCGGGGTGGCAGAATGTCCACAGAAGAGTCTGATGGCTTCTGTCCTGATACCAGCTTACTCAGTTCAAAAATCAGCAGAGGGGCAAGGGGTGGCACTGCCCCACCCAGGACCCCTCCTAGGACCGCCCCTGGTGAAATGTGCAGACCTTTTGAGCGCACTGGCTGCTCTGCCAGTGACATCAGTCAGATGAGAAAAATGTGGACAATAGACATTTGGGTTGGGAAAGATTATGTGGAAATGACTCAACAGCGTCCGCTGACGTATCCATAAGGAGTGTGGCTTATTCAAGAAGCCCAAGCATCACCTCTGAGTGTCCGTCAGATAAAGAATCCTGCAACAAACCAGTGCCCTCAGCTCGCAAAATAAATTGTGTAAAAAGTGTAAAGAATGGGGCTGATTTCAAATTAATTAGTCAAAAATATAAAAACCGGTCACTGAAAACTATTTTCCTCACATCCGGACGGTGACTAAAAAAAGGATTTATGCTACAATTTAGAAAATGTCACAATAGGAATGTGTGCCATATTTGAAATTTCCCTTGGCAAAAAAATAACTTCAGACACTAACTGCATGTCCACATCTGATCTAGAAGACAATGGTGAACGTGCCAAATCCAGAATTTCACTGGGATCTCTAGCAGAGATTCGCAAACCGCTTTTTTCTGTATTTGTGCAAAAAAAATAATAAATCAACAAATGTTCATAGTTTTCATGATCGTTTAGAAAATAACTCACAATAGCACATCAGGACACTGAAATCTAACCACTAAAAGACAGTTTGCACTAAATTTCTGCAAATGTCAGAATTTATGTGAAGTTTTGACGCATGCAAAGTGACTTGCGCACCAATTATACTCGCTCCAAATGAAGCTCAGCTGACTTCTTCTCATTTTTTGTCTCTGCATCAAGGCCCAGTGGGATCGGTTTGAAACCACGTGCGGTGTTTTGTCACGATGACAGAAGAAACTAATGTCATTGTGATATTCAACATTACAACCTGAGGGTGTTTCTGAGCAGCTCTACTGAGTGTTTATCTACTCCGTGTAGCGATAATGAATCAGCTGGTTTCCTTGCTTCTGTCACCAAACATGCAGAAAAGCGTTTTTTATTCAACTAGAAGACAGAAGTGATCGGCCCTTTGGGTGAGAGAGCAGACGTTAATGAGAGAGAGAGAGAATGACCGGCGTGAGACATGCAGATACCACATCATCAACAAAAAATCTGCACAAGCTGCATGAAAACAGAAAAGTCTGGCAAAAGCTGTTAGTTATGAAGAGGAACGGTGAAGTGGAGGGATGCGACGGGCAGCACGCCAAGCCCTAGTCTTACCATCAACCGTCTGCATGCAGCAGTGCGGACGTCAGGCTGTGCAGGACAAAGAAAAGTCCTGACAGTTCTCCTCCTGGCAGGTGGGATAAATACAGAATAAAGCTAACAGCTTCATGTGGTGAGTTACATCGACAGACTCCAACAAAAAGGTCAAAACCACATTCAAGCCTGCAAACATTCAGGTGCGAAAAAAAGTCACCCAAAAACAACAAAATACAAAAAAATAATGTTTATTTAACACATATGAGAAATCCTGGTTTGCATGTAAAAGTAAAAATTCATTAAACAGCTTACACACCGAATATGTCGACAACACGAAGGGAAACGTGACGGTTTCTGATAAAGTGCGTCATTAAAGAGCGGTAACAGCTAAATAAGCACGAAACCGCAACGGGTCGAATTCCTCAGAGTCTAAAAACAACAAAACACACATGAAGTAAACAAAAAGGGCCTGATTCTGTTCAGGCTGGTCATTCTCTCTGCCGAGAGGTTCTTTGTGCTTTAGCAGGGAGAGAAAAAACCTAGATCTTCATAGATCTTCCACAAACTAAATAAATCCAGAACATCACGGGGAGACGGCGAGTGATCGGGTGAGGGACTGAAGCAGGAAGTCTGGAGGATGCAGAAGGGGACACGTGGGGGGAGGGGGTGACGAGCACACAGCAACTACAGGACAGTCGGGACCGCAAGCTGCTTTCATCCTACCATGTTCACTTCGTTCTTGGCCGTGAAGGGCGGCAGCTCCACGTCAGAGGCTGCAGCGGCGGCGGGGAGCGCCTCGTCTGGAGGAACCATACCTCTTCGGTCGATCAGACTAAAACACACAGCAGCACGTTTGTTATGGTCAAAAATAAAACACGTAAGCGGACGAGGCTGTCCCGCCCTCACCTTGGAGGCATGGGGCCACACAGCGTCACGCAGCAGTTGGTTATGATGTTGTTGTAACTGTACGGGTTCCCAGAATCCTCCGCTCCCCTTTTACTCGACCAGGAACCTTTAATCTAGAAATAACCAGACCTGATCAGCAGTGGAGGTTAATCGACCCGTTCCGCTGGTCACGCTGGACTTACGTCTTCATTTGTGGTGAGGTTGGAGGCTATTAAGTACGTGTGGAAGCCTGAGAGGCCCAAAATCGACCAGATGGAGAAGAAACAGATCACTAGCTCCACCACGGTGCACCAGGATGAGTCAAGGTGTGATATAACCTCTTCAATGATCACTAAAAGAAAATTACATTTCTGTTTTCTTCCCAAAGTCACTGATCAGCTGTTCGCAGATCAGCTTCATCTCTTCATGCATCCTCAATCAATCAGTCAATCAATCAGATTTATTTATAAAGCGCTTTTCAAACAAAGTGCTTTACAAAATGACCCCAGATTCCATAACAGGTTAAAAACGTTAACAGACATATGCAAGCGCACACACACACACACTTAAAAATTACATTTGGCTGAGTCCAGATGAGTCAAGTAAGGTAAGGCAAGGAAACTCCATCAGAGGAGCCGTCTGCCCCGGCAGCATCAGGTCTTCCACACTATGTCAGGGCGCTCAGTGGAGGGAGAGCATAGACCCCCACCTATAGAGCGCCCAGGAAGCTACAGTCGACCACCGCTCCCGGGGCAGAGGGCCCCCACAGAAGAAACACTGGATTTAAATGAGTAAAAATATAATAAAAGAGCTAATATAAAGGGACAAAAGTTAAAAAATAAGTAATAAATAAAATCATATAGACAGTAAAATAATAATATTAAATAATGAAACAATGCTAAAATATAATCATATAAAGCATACAAAGCAAGCAATAAAATATAATCATGTAAAACGAGAAATAAAACTATAATAAATAATTAGATAAAAGCTAACCTAAATAGTAGTGGTGTGCATCTCTACCTGCCTCACGATTCGATTTGAGTCTGAAATGCATCTCGATTCTTCACACAAAAATTTTCATTACTTAATAAAAGCAGTAGAATAGTTTTCAATTTCTTTTTGATTTCGAAATCAATGAAAAACAGAACATTCATCTATTCACTATAGTGAGCAATAATTTTTTATGTGTGCTGCCTTTAATTACTAAAATAATATAAGAAATAATGTTTTTGGTAGAGCAGCTTTAAGATTGAATATTACTGAACTTAAACATAGTAAACAAATACTGTGTTAAGTGATTCTTTCACATCCAGGATCCCAAAACAGAAATCAGCCCAGACATCCGATTTAAATATAATGGGTACATCTTTGATTACTGGTAATGTTGGCCCTGTATCCCTGTCCGCCTTTTCTGTTTTAAATTGGCGCTAGGGCAACGCAGTGCGCATGTCATTGCAACTCTGCCCCAGAAGTAATTATAAAACCTCAAAACTTTATTGTCCTGCATAGACATAGACCAGGAGTCGGCAACCTGTTCCCATCAAAGAGCCATTATTACCCGTTTCCCACAGTAATGAAAACACCGCAGCAGCCGCGGCGTTGTGGGCGGGGCCTACCCTCAGACAGCAGAGCGCTGCTCACAACAGGTGACAGCAGCCGGTACCGGTCGCACGTGTACGTCAAAGTTATCTTTCATAAGACGATAATCAATAAAACGATTTATATAAAGTGGATCCAGAAGTTGTAGCCCGTCTCTGCCGACAATATTTTGATATTTTTCACCCTGTTGGTGGTTTTACTGGGCAGGTGCCACTTTTGTCATACGTTTCTTTTTAAAACATGTTTAGACTGTTCAGAATACAAATCCAGGCTCTGTCACGTTTGATTGTTGTAATTAAACTTTGTAGGTGGGGAAGGTCAGAAAAGGATCCGATCATTTTGTTTTTCCCTCATTTACAGTGACGGAGATAATGGCGCAGTGCGCCTGGCTCTGGTGTCAATCAAGTTAAATTATATCTCTTTGCAACAATTTTCACAAGAAAACAGAACAGTTAAAAGCAGGGCTTGTGTTGACCGGACAGTTCCCGTGCTTGACCGTTTATTTTGACGGAGAAAGAATAGAAAGAATTACCCCGACGCATGCAGACGAACTGACATTTTATTTGTTTCGCACATCGCAGATGTAGCTAAATCACTCAAGAAAAGATTTCCTCCTGAACATCTGAGCTGGACACTGAGCTCAGCGCAGCTCACTGTCAGCGCGTACATAAGGTACACAGCGAGCTGAAGTTGTGGAGAGGGGCTTGGAGCGCGTCGCAGAACCAAAGCGAATGCAGGAAGATTCCTTCCACTGAAGCGAGACTTGTCACTTAGAAAATGTTCCCTGATAATGAAACTTTGGCTGAATAGTGCTTGTTCCTGTCTCCAATGTGGCGACACATCCAGGAGCCGTCTGAGGAGAAGCCCAGAATCTCACATCCTCGTCAGCTCATAAAGCGCATATGATTACGCACAAGCGTGACCCGTCAACCCGGTCTCACAGTAAGACCGGGTTGGACCTGTTCAGGTTTACGCAGACAATCTTTACATTTAGAATTGGCTTACAGATGTAAAATTAATGCAGTAAAATATAAAGCATTTTATTTAAATATCCATTCATTATTTTACAAGCACAGAGAGCCGCATCAGAAGGATGGAAGAGCCGCAGGTTGCCGACCCCCGACATAGACATAGGGAGAAAATCTCATTATGTCACGTTGCTGCATCGATGCGGAATCATGCACGGCTGAATCGCCATGCATCTTAGAATCGATCATTTCTCCCACCTCTACTAAATAGGTGGGTCTTCAGCCTGGACTTAAAAACATGAACGTTCTCTGCAGCCCTGAGGTCCTCTGGCAACTTGTTCCAGAGGCGAGGGCCGTAAAACTGGAAGGACGACTCACCGTGAGTGTGTCTTGACTTTAGGGATGGCCAGGAGACACCTGCCAGAGGAGCGCAGAGGCCGTGAGGGTTCATATGGTAAAAGCAGTTCTGAGATATCAAAAGGCCCCAGACCAGTAAGACACTTAAAAGCCATTAGAAGAACCTTAAAATTGATCCTGAAACATACGGGGAGACAATGCAATGATAAAACCGGTGTAATGTGCACTCGCCTCCTGGTCTTCGCCAGGACACGTGCTGCTGAATTTTGTAGAAGTTGTAAACCTGAGATGCTCTTTTTGGGAAGACCAGAAAGCAGGGCATTACAGTAATCTATCCTACTGGTGATAAAATCATGCATCAGCATCTCTGTATTGGCCCGGGAGAGAATGGGGCGGGCTCTGGCAATGTTCTTTAGATGATAAAAACCTATTTTTGTGATGTTTTTAATGTGTGAGAGAAAAGTCAGCTCAGAGTCAAAAATCACACCCAGGTTCGTCACTTGCTCAGAAGGATTAAAAGACAGAGATTGTAATTTCACTAAAAGCTTCTCTCTCTGGGCCTCAGGAGGACTTCAAAGGAATTAGCATTACAGCTGTGGCCTTTTGAAACTAAATACACACAAATGACACGTAAAAACTGGGATTTATCCAACACAATGGAGGATTTTACGTATGGTGAAAGGATATCTGGCAGGACTCTCCTGAAAAGCTTGTACGATGCTTTTGCCTGTCTGAGAACCTGAAATCAGAAACTCCAGCTGGTTAGACACTAAAACGATGCAATGACTGAGCGTTTGCGTCACACGTGACGGCGGGAGTACTCACGCAGGGTGATGTGTGTGATGACGCATCCAAATATGAAGGAAGTCAGAAAGGACAGGGAGATGATGAAGCTGTAGAAAAAGCGGTAATTGCGTTTTCCCACACAGTTCCCCACCCATGGGCAGTGGTGATCAAAGCGCTCTGATGAGAAACAGGAAATAAACAAACACATACCAGAGATTAGGGCGTGGAGCTTCACATGATCACATAAATACATTTTAAAAGTGGAACGATTTCTCGTTTTAAAGAAAATTAAAAGCTTGTAACTTCATTACTGCAACGGCTTCGAGGGCCTGAACGACAACCAAACAACAAAAATAGTTCCGACTGATAATAATTATGACAACACGGCACTTACATCAGCAGCATACTCGTAAAAATATAAGTTTGCTTGACTTGTTTCCGGTTTGCTGTGATCCAGAAGAACCAAAATAACGAGACTGCAGCCGTGCCCGGGTCGTGTGCCGGCACACCGATAAGGAGCGGACCCAGTGAGAGAGCGGCACAACGAAACGTACGGATTTCAAAAAGAAACAGACGTGGTGGAAAATCAGGCGATTAGGTCACTCAAAGGGAGAGTTAGTGTGTGCGTGTGTGTGTGTGTGTGTGTGTGTGTGTGTGTGTGTGTGTGTGTGTGTGTGTGTGTGTGTGTGTGTGTGTGTGTGTGTGTGTGTGTGTTTATAAATGACTGACGCTGGTAAATCTTCTTTATGCTTGACGAGACTCATATTTTTATTTTTTCACACGAAATTTTACAACCCAGACTTCCCTCTCCACAGCCCCTTGGGCCAGCTCCTCAACCAAGGCGTTCCCTGGCCAGCGGGGAGACAACAGCGTGTCCTGGGTGTCCAGCGTGTCCCGGGTCTTCCTTTAGGTCTCCTCCCAGTTGGACATTGCCTGAAAAACCTCATCAGGGAGGCGTCCAGGAGGCATCCTGACCAGATGCCCGAGCCACCTCAGCTGGCTCCTCTGGAATGTGGAGCAGCGAATCTACTCCAAGCCCCTCCCAGATGACGGAGCTTCTGACCCCATCTCTAAGGGAGGGCCCAGTCACCCTGAGAAGAAAACTCATTTCGGCCGCTTGTATCTGCGATCTCGTTCTGTCGGTCCCTACCCAACGCTCGTGACCACAGGGGAGGGTAGGAACGTAGCTCAATCTGTAAATCGAGAGCTTCGTCTTCCAGCTCAGCTCTCTCTTCACCACGACAGATCGGTACAACGACCGCATCGACGCTGCACCAATCCACCTATCGATCTCGCGCTCCAGTTTTCCCTCACTCGTGAACAAGACCCCGAGATACTTAAATTCCTCCACTTGGGGCAGGACCTCGTCCCTGACCCAGAGAAGGCATTCTACCCTTTTCCGAATCAAGACCAGAAACGTTTGAATGTAAATTCTCACCAACAGTCAATACACTGCTTTCAAATATCTAATCAGCATCATAACATGATACATCCCGTTTTTCAGTGCATCAATAGTTTCTTCTTATATCCATAATAATTATGTTCTCTATGGAAAACACAACCTAGCTGTTTGTGTCCACCTCGGTGATGTTGACTCCTGCAGGACCCTTGCAGCAGCAAATTCACACCAACATGTTCAGTAGCTTGCACACAATAAAGAATGGAAAATCCTGTGTTTGCTCAAAGGAATGTGGCATTTGGCATGAATTGGCCAAAATCCATGTTGACTTTAACGTATCGATGTGACGCAAATGTCATTAGGCATTATGACAGATTACAGCTGACTTAGAGAGTGGGGTTCAATGTGATGAATGTTGATTACCAACACAGTTGTCACACAGGCTACAGTGGGAGGTCCGAGGAGGGCGGAACATCTTACAGGTGAAGCAGTATTTGAGCTTCACCACCTGCTGGTTGATGAGGATCTCCTTGGTTCGAGGAGGGGGGCGATACGTCGATGATCCTGAGGTATCTTAAAATAGGAGGAGTCACTCATTAGGTTGCTTATATTTGACCAAAAATTGTTAAAAAAAAAAAAACAAACAAGAAAACTAAACAATCAACAACGGATCTCTAAACACAGAGCTTCATGTTACGGTTAACTTTTGTGCCCCTCAGCCATAACATAGAATAAGCTGCTTAGGTCTAATGGGTCTGTGGCTTCCCAATAAACAAATCCTCCATATGGCAAAGCTGTCTGACCCCATCTGTCTCACTGTGGGTACATGTTTTACCTATTTGCTTCTCTATGTCTGCAGCTTCGTCTGCTGTGGCCCTGGGTAGGATCCCTGGATCTGTGAAGCTGGTTCTCAGCAGCGAGAGGACCACAAACAAGAAGAGAAGCCCTCCGACCAGCGGTATAAAGATGGTCAGATGCTCCACCAAGAACGGGCAACTACGGACAGAAAAGTACACAAACACCTTTGCTCGTGTGTTTCCATAAAGTGACAACAAAAACAACACTCGTGGTGCGTTTAGGGACCACGACAAGAATCGGAACAAGAAAACATCTCAAGTTACTCACTCGAACGCAAAGAAAAGGCCACATGTGACAACGATGAGGCCCAGTGTCAGAGGGAGGACACCACTCTGCCGGGCTAGGATCAGCCTTCCATCGCAGAAAAACCTGTTCTTCCCCGGGAACACTTCCCATTTCCTCCGCGGCCGTTGGGCTTTCTTCTCGGTGTGGTTCTGCACCGACAGCGGCGAGACGGTCAGAGCCTGTGGGTCGATCTGCTGGTACTCACAATTCTTCATCGGGCACAACAGAGCCGACACTAAAAAACAGTCCTTAAAGAATTCCTCTCGAGATTCACCCACTGGACATTTATGTACTGCTTCTTCTTTTAGCGGTCAGCTATCCACCAAAGCTAGCGAACCAACAAAGGCATTCTCCTCCGTAGGTCAGTTTTACGAGCTCGGTCAGTTCACGAGTGGACGCGGGGTTAACCACCATGTTCGGTAGTTACGTCGCAGCTGCACGTTTGTTCCGATTCAGTTCGAAACGAATCCGAATTTTTAAAAGAACGAAGAGAAACTCAAAAACAACGGAGCAAGCTTACTACTGTCAGCTAATGTATGCCATCGCGTTAAGATGACGTCGCACGCAAAAAAAATAGGTGTATAGAAAGCCGTTCTAATATATAATATTGTAGAAAGCCGTTCTAATATATAATACTAAACAGTTGATTTTAGAAAATCGGTAAAAAAAAAAAGGCCTTAAAACAATATTTCGTTTTTCACGAGTGAAATTAATTATCCAGTAAACACATTTACGTATATTTGTAGTAATTATATAAAAGGTTGTCATCAACTGCGATAACTCATAAAATCTGAAAAAACGATTTAATGAAATGTAAAAAAAATATTCGTATTCCAAAAATAAAGTGAATGGTGTTTTCGTAAGTAATCGTAAAAATCCACAAAAAATGTATTTAATTGGGAAACTTTAGGGGGGGGGGGGGTTGATAGTTTAAAATTATTCTAAAAAATGTCCTTTTCATTATATTTATTACTTCCCAACTCGCAAAAAGTTGTAATCTGTTGTAAAAAAAATTAGGCTAGAAAACTTTTATGATACTGAGAATCAGTCAGTATTGTAAAGAATACTAGAGAAGTTTGTAAGGGTTAATGACCCCTAAATGACTTTTATTCCAGGGTACCCACAATGTGCCAGAGTGCTGCTGTATTTGTGTCTGTGTGTAAATATGGATGAATATTGATCAAACAGAAGGGAACACTACTGGTTTAAAATGCCTGTTAATTTCTTCAATTGGCTCTTGGCCAGTTGACCTACATAGTTCTAGCTACAATGACTATTTAGCTACTGTTAACAAAATATTCAATAATTTAGTTTTTCATCAAGTCATTTAGAATTATTTTGTCTTTTTAATTCAATGAAAATACAAGTTTATTTGTGCTTAATTTTATGGAATTTTTCAATTATTTACTCAAACCTCAGGACTAATGTGCCCTAATTCTAGTTATTTAATCATTCCAGAATAAAATGAGCATTTGGGTGGGTGTGTGTGTGTGTGTGTGTGTGTCAAAAAATGTTCCTTAGAAGAAGTTTATTTTTCATTCAGTTAAAAAGTCAGTATCTTTGAATAATTCTCTTAAACATGCATTTCAGTAAATTAGACCAGAACATTTAAAGCTTTTCCAAATTTCAACAATTAGAAAAAATGTTCAAGTACAAACATGCAACAGATAAAAAATACATGCAAATCAAGCTTGCATATAAAAATAATAAATAAAATCTTGCTGTGACATTCTGTGTGGAACTGGACAAAGCAAAGTGGATGCGTGAAACAGCTTTTCAAGTGATTTTCCTAAAATAAATACACAATGACAATATGTTAAATTTGTTGTCCAAGTCTTATTGGAACATAAACATTTCTATTAGTGAGGAGCTTTGTGTACGTTACGTATAATGTGACATATTTAGCCCAGTTCTACACAGAAATGTCTAATTTAATCCTCAAAGTAAAATATAAAGTCAAGTCCAAGGCAAGAAATTACAATGCAGTGCAAGGCCCAGCAGCCAGTAGGAGAGGAAGTATCCCAGGATGCACTGGGTGGTCGGAGAACAGGCTTTGAAGTGGGGCAGCAGTGCAACGATGGGGTTCTGAGTAGTGTGCTTGCAACAATTTCTGAAATCGGTGTGCAGCTGCACCGTGGAGCTGGAGGTTTTCCGTCGGTGAAGAAGCGGCTCATTGAGGAGGAGCAGGTGAGCGCTGATCCAGAATGGCACAGGAGACGAGGAAGCCATGAATCTGGTTAGAACCTTTAAAAAAGGCAGATTAAACAATGTAAAAAAAAAAAAGATGAATTTGGTTGTTCGTGAGACGGTTTTCTTACCTGAACATGCATGCACAGAGTTCCAAAGACGAGGAGCACTGCAGAATGCACGATGTACACAAAGACTTTCGGGTTGAAGAAGCCCGGTATGGGCTTGTCCAGTCCTTTCTTTGAACTCGTCTCCCAAAGTCCAAGTCTCAGACAGAGTTCTGAATTAGCTTGAAAGTAGGCATAAACAGCCACGATGCCAAGTGTAGCCATAGGCAAAGCCAAAATAAAGTTTGGTATTTGTCTGAGCTCAAAGTACCGGAGAAAGCCCACGTCCCAGTAAACATCCTGGATGTGTGAATACAGCAAAGGGAGGGGTCGCATACACCACAGAGGAGGGGGCCCGTTTTCATTAGGAACCCGGTAACTCCTCTTCTCGGCCAGTGACAGGAGGGAAGGGTGGATCTGCTCCAGGGAGGTGGACGGGGTGCAGAACGTCCTATAGCCATAGTACTGGAAAGCACAGAAGGGGAGGGCAATAACAGCCGTGCCTAAGAGAGAGGTCAGCAGGAGACGGAGGGTGACCCAGATGTAGCACAGGACTTTACTGTAGCCTGTCGTCGTCGTACGATAAACGCGGATCTGTGAAATGGCACGCAGTGCCGGGATATACAGCAGAAAGCCAATGTTAACGAGTCCGTTAGAGCGCGCTGCAGTGGCTATGCTGAGGGCCAAGCAGGCTGTGAAGGTGAAGCCTTTCTCCAGCAGCAACAGACCGCCGTATGTGAGTGCAGCAAACAGACTCTCCGAGTACCCAGCTGTCATGAAAACATTGGCGGGCGTGATGCAGTACAGGAAGCTGGAGAGCAGAGCCAGACGCCTGTCCTGCAGAACCGCTCTGCTGAGGGCGTACAGGGCCACCGCGCTCAGCAGGAAGAGGGCGCTGTTGCCCACGGCCACAGCCAGCAGCAGCCGCCCCCGCACGCTCAGCCAGCTGCTGAGGGGCCGCAGCAGCGTCTCCACCAGCCCGCGCAGCACCACGGGGAACAGCGGGAAAAACGCGAAGTTGTGCTCATACAGGTATCCTCTCTCTGCAATGAAGAGGTAGTGCTCCGCATCCCAGTGTGAGAGGCCACCGAACAGCCACTCCACCACTGAGTCCAGGTACAAGTGCTCCTCTGTCCGAGGCGGCCTGAAGGCGTCCGCGTCATGGTCAGGGATTGCCGCATTCAGAACAGCCTGGAAAAGAACGGAAACAATAATGCCATCAAACCTCAAACACAACCGACCCGTTTATACGTCACACGAAATAATGACGTGTTGCGGCCAAACGTGACTGATAGAAATGTTCTAAACAAAAAAAGGCGATAAAACTTACCTGTAAAACAAGAGAGAGAACCCTGGTTAATGTGGCAAACTCCAGAACTGCTCTGACATCCATGGTCATTGATGAGACGGACTAAAGGTGGAGGAACCGGTTCGGTTCAGCCACGCGCACTTCCGCCGCTCTCACGAGGCACTTGGCGCTCAAACAGCCATACGACATCACTGCAAAACGATCCTGCCTGTGAGCATTCATTACCTCCAGGACATTCGTCTTCAAGCGGTTATTGATTGTGGCTCAGCAGTAATCTTTTTGTCCTCATCCTGCCGCAGGATGCAGCCTTTCTCGTTTACTTCCGTTGTAGTGACTTCAAAATAAAAGCTCACTCATGGACTGAAAGCTCATGGGCTGAAATCCTTCCGTGAAAAAATAAATAAAAACAACGTTAACAAACGTAGCGTTTACGTTTTTTAGTGGTTACTAGGATTATTTTTCTTCAGGTTGTGAAATATTTATTTTAAACTTGTTTATTTTATCTCCTGCAGGGGGCGCTGGACACAACTGGTGATTTCAGACACATCGTTGTCGCCTCCCCAATAATGGTGTTCAAGACTTGTTTGATCAATACATTTCCTGTGGTCTCTAGTAGGAATGAATGCCTTGTAAGTCATACTCTGGGGAAGAAAAACACTGGTGCACAATTTTCAGGAATGAGAAGAGCCACATTGCAGGTTAGCTTCAGATGAAAGAAGTTGGACTCTTGTTTCCAGATATTTGGACATTTTGCCTTGGACTGGATAACAGCAACATAACTCTACGACTGACTAGCAACGTGGATTTTTTTAATCTCCAAATAACACAAACCTGGAGGAGTTCTGCTGCGTGGTGGAGTTGCTAACGGTTAGCTTCTACAAGCCGAGACATTCTCTGCTGTTTCCTGGACACTAAAACAGACCCATCAGGAGCCAAGATGGGTGATTCCATGAATGTTAAGTGACAGTGTGACGTAGATCTGTCAGGTTTTTCTAATCCTGGAGTTTCACATCTATTTCCTGTCAGAAGTTAATGCAGGAGATAGGTGTAGGAGACTATTTTCATGTTCAACCTGCCTGAAACACACAGAGTGACCGATTATTTTCACAAATATTAATATGATTCACACCTTACAAAAAATAGTATTTCATAGTAATTTTAACTCCCCCCCCACACTTTTATAAACACTTAAAATGTTTTAAATCTCTACGTTAATAAGAAGTTCTATATCTATCTTTGTTTGTTCGTCCTTTTGGAGAAATGAAAAGCAAATGATTGCTTTGGTTGCAGTAACACTGCTTTTCTTGTGCAATGTAAAAATCTGTGTACTCTACAATTTCAGATCTCATGTTATACATCCTCTTGGATGTTAGTGCTGTTATGCTTTTGTAACTTTGCAGCAACTCCACTGGAAAAAAGGTCAAATTAAAACAGAAAATCTATGCAGTGTAAATTCCTAATTTCTCCGACAAGAACTAAACATCCCAAAGGAACAAAAACCATCAAACAGCTTAGGAAGATTTGATGTACATTTATTCTTACCACGTGGAACATATAGTATAAAGATTTCATACTGAATAAATGATATTCCTTGAGCCAAAAAAAGGGGGAAGGGGAGGAATTTACATGTTGTCTTAGCTACATAGTCTGAAATACAAATATGCAGAGTCCATGACTGGAGAAAATTTGTCAAATGTGTACTTCATCTAGTTTATTTTTGTTTGTACCAGGATATTACAAGTTCGAGTCGTGTGTGTCTGCCATACTACGGGGCTGTGAAGAGACCAGAGGTGAGGGCCTAATATTGGTGGGGTCTGGAGGTCGAGGACAAGCTAACACGTTAGCCTCCATCTCAAGTGTGAGAATAGTGACACAGACAGAGACAGACACAGAGGAAGGAAGTATAATGTACAACATTATATATACACCACAGCAAAGCTGTATCTGAAGTTGAAAACCAGTCCTAAGAGGTGATTTCTTTTCATAAGGGTATTCATACAATCAAGGGATAAGAGGAGGTAAGGGTGTTGTAGGTTCTTGATACTTTGGGGAAGAAAGCCATTTTCTGTTTAACACCAAACTAAAATGACCTCAAAACTCTAGAGCTGCATCATCAGCTTCTGTGAGAAACAAGTTTTACAGAATGCTTACACTTCAAGAGCAGTACGGTACAGAAAATGTCCTACAATCTACTGCACACTGCACAGGCCTCCCCGGTGAAGGTGTTTATCGACAGCACTGTCGGGCTGACTGGTGAGGATCCAGCTACAGCAACTAAAACCAGTAGGTCACTTGTCAGTCTGCGTCACCTCCGTTACAGACTCACTGTGCCCTCACAGGGAGAGCTAGGGCACACTGTCTCCCAAACTCACTGTAAACGAAACAGCAACTTTGGTTACAGTTTTTGTTTTTCAGCTATTTGTTTATTCATTTATTTATCTTTATTAAAAAGTACTTTCTCCCTCACCCCTCCCCGCCCCAAGTGCGGAACAGTCTCCCAACATCGGTGCTCTGCTGTGTCGTCCAGTTGGCATTGTAAGTAGTCTTTGTCGGCGTGGCGATCCACCGTCCATCTGTGACGGCCCTCCCCGAGGAAGGCTGGCCGGTGGAGGGCGCACAGAACGTACTCTGAAGGATTTTCATAAATTAAAGCCAGTCTTTTGAACTTTCCTCGCCCTGTTTTGGACACAAGCACAAGCCAGATTTACCAGGGGGAGGGGGGATTGGGAAAAATCCCCTTGCTCAAGAAGTGGAGCCACAGCTCCCCATAGCTGTCATGACTGGCCGATCAAAAAGAGTACATCACAGATAACATGAGACACCAGCGAGTTCATTAGCGGAGACACGGACAGGTCGAGTAGTCGGGACTCGTGTAGTGTGAACTCTGAGTGGTTCTCCTCCACCTTGGATAGGGCGAGCAGGGCCCGGGCAGCTCGCCGCATCATGTCCGGGCTGGTGGGCTCGAAGGGCATTCCTTGTAGGTGCAGAAGAGAGCTCTGGCTCTGTTGAAGCTGTGTGGCAGCCAGACTGTCTTCCAGGAAGCCGAGCAAATTGCCCACACTGCCTTTCTGAACAGCGATAGCTCGGGCTGCCATCGTGTCACCCTGGGCCAAGTTGGCAAGTAAAACTACGGCCATCTCCCTGCAGACCGCAACCTTCCTGTCACCGATTAACCGCACCAGGTTCCCATAGAGCTTCTCTAATCGACCGAAGGGTGGCGTGGCCAAGATGAGGTCCACGTTGTTGTCTTGGATGCTTAGCTTGCTTAACGTCTCCAGAACCAGTCTCTGGGGCGACAAAGAACTATGGGGTCCCAGGGTAGGGAACGGGTCCTGGGCCTCTGCTGAAGGACAGACCGCCCAGTGCAGAAGGCCATCCAGCAGGGGCAAGCAGATGCTTTCTGAGTAGAGAGAGAGGTCTAGTTGGCCTGAAATGTTTGCCAATGTGACCAACGTGTTTTCTCTCAGAAGCTCCAAGCAGTCCCACCACCACTCATCCTTCTGGCCCATTCCCTCTTCTGAATCCTCGTCTTTTTCATAGGTGAGGGGGGCCTGTTTGCGCTCAGGGTGCCAGTGGTGCAAAAGAATCAATCGCCCGAGCATTAGCAGCAGCCCAGGGTGTTTGGACATTTCGTGGTCATTTCCCGGCACAAAGGAGAGGCTGCGGATAATATTTGAGACACAAACGCAGCGACGCGCTAATGAATCCTGCCAGGTGGCCAGTGTAACAAGCGGCCCTTCATCCTTACTGTGGGGCTCATCCTCCAATATGGTACCAAACGGCTGTGCCTTTTGGGCTAAAACACTTCCAGAGGAAAGAACGGGTCTATTCTCCTGATTACTCGTAGGACCTCCTACAGCAAGCTTTGCGTCTGAATCTGATTGCCTCTCCTCGTCGCTGCTCCCTACGGAGCCATTTTTCTCCAAGTCTGTCTGTTTTTGTCCCTCTTCTTCTTCTTCAGGTTTCGTATTTTCCTCCTCAGTAGGTAAACCGTTTTCCCGTACGTCCCCTTCTGGGACCCGCCGCATCAGTAGGGCTGTAGACAAAGGTATTCGTTCTCGTGATTCCAAGAAGTCTTTGCGTGGCTCAAAGAGAGTCTGGATGTGTTCTGTTGAGTCTCCACCTCCAGCGCTCCAGTGAAGCAGCCCACTGTCAAACTCTTGCACTTTGCCGTGATTTTTGGACTGGGCAGCCACAAACGGGTCCTTCTTTCGTACCACCTTCAGGGGAAACTTGTCAAACTTGCTGGCCTGTTTGGGTTTGTCATGGGCAGGTAGGCATAGCGATGAAGCCGCCTGGTCAGATAAAGAAACTTTGCTCTTCCTTTCGTCGTCTTCCGTCTTCCCATCTCGACCCCGAGAGCACTGCACTTGATGCTCCTCCTCTTTCACATGAGGCGGTCGCACAGTTTCCTCCTCATCTTCATCATCCGCTTCCTCCTGTTCCATATCCTCAAGATGTTGTTCATCTACTTCCACGCTGTCCAAGTCTTGCTTCAAGGCATCCGGATCAAGCAGCGTCCGCTGGCCAGGGTCTCCAACTTCATACTCTCGCAGAATGCCAAAGATTTCAATGAGGCAACGCCTGAAATACTCAACCACCAACTCCAGCAGGCCAGGCAGCTGTGTCAAAAACACAAGTAGGTCAAATATGAGACGAGATCAACACGGTGACGTATCACCACGAAAGGAATCGACATTACGCCCTACCGTGTTGAGATCGAAGGTGGCGATGCTGTTGTCATCATACAGGAGGATGTTGATGGTATCTAGAGCCCATGTACTTTCAGCCAGTAAACCAGACTTTAACGACATCATGACTCTCCAGGCCTCTGGAGTTCCTAGATCATGAGAGAAAAAAATATCACCAAGTACAACGACAAGTTAGATTAACAAACAAACAAACAAACAAACAAACAAACAGACAGAACTGTGGTTAGAACAAATCTGGATTTCTAATTTCTGATCTTACCGATTTCTTTCAAGGTGAGTCTTCGTCGTGGTTTGAGAACAGGAAGTGAAGCTTCCACAGAGCCAGGGGGAAAAGGCATGTCTCTCCTTATTAGAGGCGACTGCACAGGAGGCGGAACTACGTGGGATGCAGGCACCGGGGGTCCGGCCTTCTGCATCTTCATTACTCCGTGGATGAAGGGAGATTTATTAGGCGATGTCCGGTTTTCCAGGGGGCGGGGTATGGACGCCGGGCTGGGCACCTGTGGAATGTGGTTCTGCACACCCTGAGGGGGCTGGTAGTTGGACTGAACTGAACGGGGCATAGGCTGTCCAGGCCCAGCTGGACCGTAAGAAGGCTGCCGAGGGCCTATTTGACCCCCCCACTGGCCATCGTGATTCATGCGTTGTTCTGATGACATCATATCCTCTGAGCGGTTCATACCAGGATACCCGGGACCGTGTGGTTGGCCACCAGGCCCACCCTGCCGGTTAGGGTAGTTGTGATAGTTAATGTCTCGAGGCCCTTGCCACATGCCGCCCTGAGCACCCTCAGCACCTGGCTGCATCATCTGAGGGGGCATGTTGGGCTGCGCATTTGGCCCGGAGGCTCCTTGCATTCGTTCACGACCAAAGGGAAATGGGAATTGATTGCCGGGTCCGGGGGGACGGCGGTCAGGGCCAGGGTACGGCCCGCTCCCTACGCCGTACTGATTGAATGACTCCTGCTGTCCCGAAGGAGGTGCAGAGGCGCCACCTTGCTGCTGCTGCTGTGGTGCTTGCTGCCCTCCGGGGAAGGAACCGCTGTACTCCGTCTCATGACGTTTTGATGGAGGGAACACTCCATCTATGGAACGTTTGTAACTCTAGACAAAAAAACGCAGAATTAAATGTATTACACAAATACTCAAAACAACTATACAGACTAAACTTAAGTTAAAAAATATTCTAATGTTTTCTAATCATTAAAATGGTGGGTACATTTTAACTTCTAGGCACTTTAGACATAAAAACTCGGACTGGATCTGAGCCCAGCCTAAAGCTGATGTGGTGCAGATGGATCATTTACCTGCTGAGGGTAACTTCCAGGCTGCTGGTTTGGGTAGGAGCCAGTAGAGGGCGTCCCCTGCCCGGGATACTGATTACCATAGGAATCATGCCTGCACATGTTAATAATAAGCGGTTAGAACCAGCCTTCTGATGTCCAGAAGCATCCACGCTAGACCAGAAGAAACTTAATGTGTAAACAATTTTGTTGTACCAAGTTTTGATTTTTCCAAATAATAAATGTTTAGGTAGAAAATATAAACAACTTTTTTTTCCTTCAGTTATTCGCCGTCAGAATTTTTAATTCCAATGACAACTTGGATCAAATAAAAACCGTCCATCTTAATATATTAAAGTCAAATAAAATTGTCAGCTTAAACTAGAGCTAATGTTTTCATATCAAGACAACGACCACCAAAATGAAACGCGCCCTGAATTTTGACAAGTTTGTCACAAAACCGACGAGTTTCCACTTCTAAAGCTTTTAAATTGACCAGATGAAAGTAATCCTTTTTCATTTACAGACAGCTGAAGTGGGGGAAGGCTGAGTGGAGGACTGACCGTGGCTGCTGCGGCGGGAAGCGGTTTGGTGAATACATCCCAGCGTCGGCGTTGGCGGGCATCATCGGGTTTGGCTGAGGAGCACCTGATCCCATGTTAGCCTCGGGGCCCATCCCCTGCTCCGGTCTAGGGGAGGTGACAGAAAACTCGTGAATTTTTTTTTATTAAAATATTTTACTGCACAGAGTATTATGAGCTCAACACCAGCAGCAAAAGGCAAACAAAGGTTTGAATACATTCTTTCATCATTTACATTTCTATTGACTGATGCTCTTTTTCTCTCTCATTAAACACAACTAGCCCTGCCAGTCAGGGAAACATGAAGGGAGTGAATAATTCCATTAAAGGTGCAGTATGTAAGAATAATGAGAATTTTACAGTGAGAAAATCCCATAAGAGTTTAATGTTTCAGTCAGACTTATTTAACGCTTTTAAGGTCACTCAGAGACGCTTTACAAACACGGGAAAAATAACACTAATAAATACGAGCAGCCTGCTACAGAAGATGTTAGGGGAAGGCCAGTTTGAAAAGAGGAGTTTTGAGCAGTGCTTTAAAGGTGTGGAGGGACCTGATAGTTGGGGCGGCGGTGACTAAGGCCGGGGACACACCGGCAGCCGAAGCGCCGGGAAGCGAAGCGCTCACGAAATTCGGCTGCTGCTCGCTGCTCCTCAGTTCAGGCGTGCCTCCTAGTTTTTCTTTTAACCACTTGGTGTCCTCCATTTCCTCTCTGCCTTTTCTCTGCTCTTTTCCTCCACTGGCTCCCGGTAGAATTTAGAGTACAGTTTAAAGTTTTAGTCCTGACCTATAGAGCTCTTAACAACCAGGCTCCAAGCTACCTATCTGAGCTTTTATCCCCACACACCACTTCCGGAACCTCCGATCCACATCTGAAAACCTCCTGGCTGTTCCTCGAACCAGACTAAAAACCAAAGGGGACAGGGCCTTTCAGTCTATTGCCCCCAGACTTTGGAACAGTCCACCTTCAAATCTCCGTCTCTTGAAATCTGTAGAGGTCTTCAAAAAACATCTTAAAACTCACCTTTTCATCCAGGCGTTCCCCCGCTAAATATTCTAAAAGATGGCTTTGTTCTTGTTCACACCTTGACTTTGTTTTTACTCCTGATTTTGGTTACTATTGTTGTCACTGCTATTGTTTTTATGATGTTTTTATTGGTTTGAGGTATTTGCCCTGATGTTACTCATGTTGTACAGCGCTTTGTGATTTATATCTGTGAAAGGCGCCATATAAATAAACTTTACTTACTTACTTAAACCAGAACATGACAGAATCATCTGACCAAGCGGCTAACCCCGCAGAACCAGCTCCCCCTCCAGATATCTCAGAGTAAATACACTTTTACTTACTTACTTACACCCCCCTTGCTGTGTGTGTGTGAACCAGTTGTTAATACGACTTTCTACGGCCTACGACTTTCTGCCTCTCTATCCTTTTGCTCCGGTTGAAAGACACCCAAAACAGCACCCCCTTCACGTGGTCACACACACAGCGAATGTGTGTGTGTGTGTGTGTGTGTGGTTTTTATGCAGTGTCTGTTTACGAACACATTTGACTATCGCGGAATTGTATTTTGAAATGCTTTATTTTGTTACATTTACCGGCCCGCCTCTTATGTCTGGGTTTGACTTCCTGCCAGAATTAACGCGGTCCACCCGCGGCTCATGAAAAACAGAGCGGGCCCGGCGTGCGGCGCTTCAGCGGCCCATGTGATCTATAGAATAGGATAACAAGGGTGCCGAATGAAGGCGGTCCCCTTTTCGCTGCGCTTCGGTGGCCGGTGTGTCCCCGGCGTAAGGCTTGATCTCCCAGGGTGTGGTATGGAGTACTTAAGGGAGAAAGAAGATTGGAGTCGGCCGAACGGAGGTTGCGAGCAGGAGAACGACGGTGAAGGTTGGTTAGATGGGGGGGGGGGGGGCAAGGTTATTGAGAGATTTATAGGTGATGAGGGGCAGTTTGTATTGAATTCGGTATCGAACTGGGAGCCAGTGGAGTTGTTAGTGGAGTAAAACCAAATCAGTTCAAATGGGAATTCATCTAATTCTTTACACCGTTCTTTAACTCTCACCTCCTGTCGTAGCCTGGTGCATAAGGATACTGCTGCCGGGGCCCCATCGGCATTGTGCCCATGGCCCCAGGTGGTCCTCTGCTGAAAGGAGGCTGTTGCTGTGGTGGCTGCTGCTGCTGCTGGTCACCCACCATGCTGTTGGGACCCTGGCTGGCAGGTAGAAACTGCTCCCCCACTGCAAACATATTCAGTTACAGAACACTCGGATCCAGCCTCTTAGCGCTAGACTTAACCGAGTTTGTTCGGTGCTCCCACCTTTCCGCATGTTACTAAAGGGGTCCTTGTTGGGTTCGTAGGGTCCCATGCGGCCTTGCATGTCCGGTGTGTTCATGCCAGACGGGTAGGTTGCGTTGGAGGTCATGTTCTTCCTGGGGAAGGCAGGGTCGTTGCCATCGGAGAAGGGATCCTGCAGGTTCACGCTGCTCCTAGAACAGACAAAAATGTTAACTTTACTACTCATGGTGTTTGGAACAAGTTAAGCTTGGTGAGGTAAATCTGTGGGAATCACCTGGACCCAGGTGGCATGGGGGGCATTTGTGTGTGAGGAGTGGAGGCTGGAGTGGGCGGTTTAAGGTCCCCCCCCTCAGCCATGGAACTGCTCGTGGACTGGGGTGTCTGAGGACCCTGCAGAGAGCCCGACCCAGCTGTGGAGCAGAGGGACGCTTCAGTGTGAAACAAGAGGGGAGCAAACAGACACGGTTCATGTCTTTAATCAGGAAACGAGTCGTTTTTAGAGCAAGGCAACGAAAAGAGGAGTGAGGCTCTAACCTGGTGAGGGTGGCTGCACCTTAGCCGCCTGGTTCTTCTTGTTGTCTGTGAAAATCTCAGGGGGAGGGTCTTCACCACGCTCAATTTTACACTCAAAGGCGTACAGACACTGGATGTACTGTTTTTTCAAAGAACTGGCAGCACTGCTGGACGTGCCCACATTCAGAGCAGTGGCCAGATCACGCCACTTCTTATTCTTATTCACCTGTAGCAAACGCAAAATCACATCATCAGAAAATAACTACGGCCAAACCGCTCGGGGTGGGCATCTCTGGAACCCATCACGGTGTCTAAACACAATATTAACCTGCGTCATTCCCCCGATCTCCTTCACGGACATATACAACCGGAAGAGGTCGAGGGGCTTGCGTCCGACGGCCGGCAGGTTGGTCATGCCCATGGCTTTCTCTTCAACGAAAGCCAAGTAACGGTCGACCCAAAGCTTCCTGTCGGGCTCTGGTCCCAGCTCATACAGGCGTGTGATCTTCTCACTTGTGGTCGTGGAAGAGTTGGACTTCTGTTTCGTGAAAAAGAAATAAAAATAAAACAAGAGAATCCAAAAAGGCTCAACCAGCCGTGCTTCAGGTGTCGCTGAAAGTGAGTTACCTTAGATTTGGATTCTGGCTTGGGAGTTCCACTGCCATCCACCTTGTTATTCAACTTATTGTTCATCTCTGGACTTGCAGCCATCCCTACTCAACAAGGAAAATGAGTGGAATCAGCCGTCAGGTAACCACAAACAAAAACAAGCCCTCGGTCACACCGGCGTAACTCACCGCTTGTGTTGTTGGCCATGTTTGGCCCCATGGGATAGGGTGAGCCACCTGGAGTGTTCATCATTCCAGGCATGCTGTTCATTGGTTGGCCGTATGGTGGACCAGAACCCATCATGCCTTGAGACATATTGGGATAACCGGGCATCCTGGAAGAAGGACATCGGGTAACTGAGTAGAGCCGTGTGCAAAGACACGCCCACACCAGGGTCAGCTGTGAGCTCACCTGTTCAGCATGGAGTTGGAGGAAGGATGCTGCATGGCCGTCGGGTCCTGGGGCTTCCTGTTCATTCCTGGAGGCGGGCACATTCCTGAGCCTACCTGTGGAGGCATGTTGCCCATGTTAGGAGGCATGTTCGGCCCCATGTTGGGACCGTAAGGACGTGCGCCCATCTGATTAGGAGGCATCCTTCCTGGAGGCATGCCAGCGTATGGCGGCCCTCCACCCTGTCCTGCCATGGGGTTCATGGAGCCCATTGCTGGTCCTGGGTAGTTGGCGTTGGGCATGTTTCCATAAGCAGGCTGCCGGGGGTAACCCACTGATGATATCAAATAAAACACACAAAGAAACACACGAGATCAAACTCAAGAGGTCGCAAGGGCAGGAAATTTCCTGCTGCAGGACAGAGATAGCGGCTCGCATTCATGAAGAAGTTAAAGCTGCTGCACTTCTTTAAAAAGCTGCAAGACAAACTTTTCCTTTCAGTCTGCTCGCAGAGAGAAGCGTGCACCGAGAGCCACACGGCTTTGTCACGGTTTCGGCTCTGCTGGCAGGAGGCAGTGCTACATCAGCTGACTCTCTGCTTCACAGCTATAAATAGCCGCAGTAGAGTCAGAGGGAGGGACCAGCGATGTCACGGTCTTCATACCAGGCAGGGAAACGTACTCCACGGGGTTGTCTAATAGCTTATTTCCATAAGATCTCCCTAACAAATAAAATATGTGAAATGCTTATAGAAATCCGTCGAACCGAGCGCCCTCTCTGTTGGTTTGTTACAAGACGATTCCATTACTTCTACAAAGTGAATGTTAAGTGCAAACCTTGGGGGCCGTACTGTCCTCCCTGCGGCCCATAGCCACTCATAGAGCTGTTCTGAAATGGCGCCATCCCAGGATGAATCTGTCCTCCGGAGGACTGGCGGGGCGACAGCGCAGAGGCTGACTGGGGGGAGCCATAGGGGGGCATCTGCGGGTTTCTGGGCATGAACCCTGGAACTAACAAAAACAGAGATGTTGCTTAAGACTGTAAAGCAAAAACAAGCCGCTTCATCGCCGAGACCAGCAGCGCACCTCTGTCCTGCGCCATGGGGGACTGGCTCATGCCGGGGTGCAGGTTCCCATCGGAGTGCACGCTCGACGGTCTGGGAGGCATCTGGGTCCCTAAACGGGGACAACAGAGTTTGTTTAGTCTGCGTTCAACTTAATGAGTTTATTAGTGTTATTCAGGTTTGAGGAAATAAAGAAGATCAATCACAAAAGGTTTAAAAGACGGTTTCTTTCACCACGCTGCAACACGCAGCGTAGCCAAGTGTCTTCTCTCTGAACCACCAGCGTGTATTTCATTTACTCAACCGCATGTTTGCTCGTGTAAATGATCAGAGGCGGCTGACAAACTGGGAATCAGAGTTTTTCTGACTATCTGGGATTTAACTCGTTTGTTTTTCTCAGTACTACACTTTGTTGTTTTTACTTTTGCATCCAGTTTTATTGTAGAATCTGCTTAACAAGTGATGTTCAATTAAGTTCTCATGATGCACCGTATCCTTTAAATCCATGCCCGCTTGTTTTTCTGTCTCCTGACACTGACAGGGTGTTCTCCTTTTAGGTGCCACGCAGACCTCAGGTTTCCAGATGACTTGTTTAAAGTGTCGGCGAGAATAGCTAGACGTTCCAGAAGAGCAGGAACACATCACAAACCTATAAACGCAAACTCTAGACGAGCTCTAAAGGAACTCTCCAGACACATCTGAAAAATAATATAAAATACTCTAAAAAGTCCCAAATGCAGCTCAAACATGTACGTTATCCAAACACAAGTTCCCTCTTTTACGTTGTTGAACCAAACTCGGCTGAAGTAAAAACCTCTGCTTCATCAGGCCGTTCTCCAGATAACACCACAGTGATGCCCAAACAATGAAGAATAACAGAATAAATGACAAAAACTAAAACACCTTTTTCAATTTTCAACAACATCAACTGATGAAGTCATGATTAAAGTGTTCTGATCCACTTCAAAGCCCCAGTAGCAACACGCAGCTGAGGCCTGGGGTGTTAACGTCCAGTAGCTATTGGCTCACCTGGCATGTTGGCGGGTGATAGTGGTCCTGTTCGGGGCGTGCTGGCGCTGGCTGGGGAGCCGGCAGGGGAAGGAGAGGGCCCTCGGATGCCTGGGAGATGGGGGGATGTGTGAGGGGAGAAGGGCGACTGAGCGGGGTTACTCTGCTCGCCCTGGCTGCTCGACACACCAGATGTGCTCACGCCGGGACTCAGGGCGCCCTCTGGCCCCTCTGTGCCTGTGGGCAGGTCGTCAATGGACCCTGATAGGTCCTGCAAACACCAACAGGAAGACACGGTCAACACCAGTCAGAGACTTACACAAAGGTTGTGCCGGCTGAAGCGTTCTGATTTCCAGGTGGTATTACACGATCCACTTCAAGCGTGGGCTCCAACAGCGTGATGTAATTCCTTCTGTGTGTGCTAGGACATGAGTGGCATAGATTCAAACACACACACACACACACATCCCCTGAGGCCTTTGTCCTTATTTATCCTTTTCACTGAGAAAGTGAGTGTGCATTATTGCCAGAGGTTGTCATGGTTACGAAGGTTTGTAGGATGTAAGCAGCAGAGTCAGCATGAAGCAGCAGCTGAGCCACGTGATGTCGGAGCTTCTCTAACAGTTAACCCTCCAGAGGAAAACAGTCGGTTCAACTTATAACAACTTTATTTTAAGCCACGTAGCATTGTTAGTCACGCCGGGCTGGTCTAAGGTGTTCTCTGAGGAAACACAAAGTGACTCTAGATGAAAGGTTTTCACAACCAACGTTCTCCTGAATACTGATAAACGAGCAAAGACGAGGGGAGGTCCGTCTGCTTCAGGTGTCGTAAACCTAAAGCCGACAAGACACTCATATTTTCCAGTGGCATTCTCATGTACTTGTTCAAATCAACCACCTCAGTGCAGCTCCACAGATTCTTACTTTTTCTCCGTCACAAACAAAAACAAGGTTTTTGACTGACCGGAAGGCTGGATGGGCGGCCCTGACTGTCCTCTGGACCAGGTTTGGACTGGGTGGATGGAGGAGCGTTGGACTGAAACGAGTCCTGGGAGATCTCCTAACAAACAACCAGAAGAGTCAAACCACAGTAAAGGAACACCCTGGTGGATGAGTGTGGTCCCAACAGGGGGAGTACCTGCTGCTGTGGAGGAGGAAAGCGCTGATAAGGTGACTGCTGTGCTTGCTGCTGGGTGTTCTGAGGGTACGCTGCAGACTGCCCCTGTGGGTGTTGGCTGTGTCCCGGGGGCTGCTGTGGATGAGACGACGTCTGCTGTTGCTGTGTGGGGGGCTGCGGGGGGCCCTGTGTGGACCCTGGGTAGTTGGTTTGGCCTTGAGATCCGGGGGGAGCCTGGGAACTTGACTGTTGCGGGGTCTGACTGGGAGGCCCCTGCTGCTGGGCGTAGGGAGACTGGCTGGACTGTGGCGCTGACGCTTGAGAGTAGGGCGGCTGAGACTGGGGGGGGCCTTGAGACGGGCCTGGCAGTGGCCCCTGAGACTGTGGGGGCATGTGGGGCTGTTGATAGGCTGGTCCTCCTTGGTTGTGTGGAGCTGAAGTGGGAGGGTGGGGCTGCCCCGGGTAAGGCGACTGCCTTCCAGCTTGTCCAGGTGAGGGCTGGGGGTAAAGGGTTTGCTGCTGACCTGGGTGAGGAGTCTGGCCTGGCTGGCTGTAATACGGCGCCTGGCCCTGAGAGCTATACCCCCCTGGTCCCGGCTGTCCGTATGCTCCCATCTGAATAAAGTAAAACATCTAGACTCAAAACAGAAGAAAGAAAATCCAGGAAAAACAATCTAGATTTAAATTCAGATACCTGTGGACCATAAGGCATAGCACCCATGCCTCCTGGGGAACGCCCTTGCATTCCCACTGGGTATCGTTGAGGAGCTGGGGGGCCATAAGCCTGACCTGGGTACCCCGGCCCAGGTTGAGGACCTGCAGGAGGCCCCTGCTGTGACTGCTGGCTGTATGGACTGCCTGATCCATATGGCTGCCCTCTCATTTTTCCCATAGGATCCATGGGACCGGGAGGCTAGTTGTGGGAAAAACACAGCTCAATACTCACAAAATATAATTTAAAGTCACCCCCTCTCAAACATCGGGTCGTTTCTGTTCAAATCCTCGGCTGTCGTTTGGATTCTGTTCAGAGCTCAACTGTGAAAACACTTCAATGAATGGACAAACTGTGATCCCCCCCACCCCCACCTTACTTCCCACGGTCATTACCCAGATTTTTTTTTCACTTCACTTTGCCATAGTTTCGGAAGTCAGAGCTATATATATCTACTTTGGAATAGAGGGCAGTGTGCCCAATCCTAAACATATCCCAGCTGTGCTCCTGTTTTGAACTTGGTCCAAGTAGGTTTTTTTCTTCCCTCCCCACAAGAAGGCATTTTTGGCTTTGAATGAATGACACCAGACATAAGGGAGGTACTACAACAACAACAGCTTCAAAGACTGAAACGTACACATTCTCTAAAACCTCTGCAACGAGAGAAAAAACAGACCTCTGGTGTTACTTATAATCATTTCCCACTGTGCACTTAGCTGAGTGCGCACCGTCACTCTGCAACGCAACATGCCTTATGTGCCCAACTGTAAATCCAAGATAATGAGGTGAAATAAATAAACTCGGCACATGGCTAATCTGCATAAGACAAGAGAGGAAACTCCCTTGGTGGGTGAGAGATGGTGGACCGCTTTCTGATTGGCTTGTAGGGGGGAGGATGGGGGGGAATTCTTTAAGGTCAGACTTGTGTGGCATGCCAGACATAGCTGCCACACACCCTCCCAGACACAGGCCTGAGATTGTTGATGCTGTTTAACAAATAGTGAAAAGGGAGGAATTTATTCAAGAAATACCAACAATGCAAGATCATAACATCCCTACAACCATTTATATTGTAAACAATTTATTTGTATCATATTATATAAAGATGCTCTAATATCACTATGATACGCTCTGAGGTTCAGTAAAATCTAATTGTTTATTAAAGCACACCAGATAACACATTTGATCCCATCATTAATCAGTATTTACAATAATAAAAGACTTGAACCGAGAAGCTGAAAGACGCGTGTTGAGCTAACGCAGCGCGTTCTTATCAGCCACTGTTGCCTCGCATCACATGTAATTATAAATGGCCATGAGCAAGCGGATGACGAGCCAATCAGATCTCAGCTAGCGTGTCAACCCAAGACCAACTATCTCCTGGCTCTGACAGAGGATTTTACCTCCACAATTCAAATCCCACTGCAATCTGCGACTCAGACGCTCATCAGGAAAAGCCGACTGTTGACGGGGTTGGCCCAGAAAACTCACCGCGGCGCGGAAGCGCATCTAATCAATACAAGTTATCAAATATCTGGCAGTTTACGAACTTGAGTGACATCTCACGAGACAAATAAACAGTTTTAACCTGGCGTCCACGAGCCGTTCAGCTAACCGAGGAGGGCTCATTCGGCACGCGACGCATTCCTTCCGTCATGGCCACAAAATTACATCCCAGCAGACGACAAAACCGTACAAACGCTAGACGAGTGACATTCTCTTATGAATACGAAAATAAACGTGTTATGCTTGCGTACTGAAGCCGTTTTAGTAACAAAAGGCAATGTAATCCCACTCTATAATAGAGTACAGCAAAGATACATTAAAAAGAGCCGCAGCTCTTATTTTTTTGCCCCCTTCTCAAAGTCGGGCCTTTCTTAGCCACCGGAACATCGTTTCTTCAACTTTTGTCTTACCCAGGCGCCGCTCTTTCGTCGTTATAGGCTTCAGTAAACACAATGAAGCGTCACATATTCAACGGTTTGTTATAAAGAGAAAAAAATACACACGACAGGCAGCCATTTTAGAGTCTTTGCGAACTAGTACCAGACAATGGCTGGCCTGCTACGTTGAGAACTAGCTAATAGTAAGAAGGAAGGAAACACGCTCGGGTCCTTGTTTTAGTAATAAATCTACTTTACCTGGCTTCTAGCGAGCGGTTGTCCAGCACTTCCCGGGCTCATTGGCGACGGGTGAAGGCTTCTTTGTTGCCAACTCGGGTTGCTCCCTCCGTACTCCGCTGGTCCCTTACTAGCTCCTTCCTGGCTACTGTAGTCGCCAGACGGGTAGTTTTGGTAACCCCTCGTAGCGCTGGGTGAAGTTAGGAGCTTGTTGAGAGTCGGCGTGGATGTTGGTTGAGGGTTCCCAATGTTATATCTCTGATTACTGTAAGATCCAGCCATCGCCGTGGGTCCTCCCGGTGGTGGCTGTTGCTTAGCTGGCTGCCCCCCAGCTGTCGGCGCTTGAGCGCTGCGAGGAGAGTTCATGGCGTACGCCTGGCCGGGATACGGAGTCCTGTTCGGGAATGGATTGTAATTATTAAACTGGTGGTTCGAAAAGCCATGTTCGTGTGAATTGGGTTGATACGGGTCCATCATGTTGCTCGACTGCACACCCGGACCCGCAGCAGCTGCCATGCCAGGGCTTTGTTGTCCGCCATATTGATGAAAAGCGGCCCGACCGTAGTGATGACTGTATCCGTAGGAAGGTGGGGGGAAAGCGGGACCGTGGTGATGCGCAAAACCGGGATGGTTATTTCCCTCCGGTCCTACGGAGTCATTCGGCGTATTATTGTTCACCCTGGGCGGGTTCCCATTCCCGTTCTTCATCTCAGGTTCCCCTCCTCCCCCTGCATTTCCACCATCAGTTCCGTCCTGCAGCTCCCCCCGGCCCGGCGATCCGCTGTCCAAACCCGTCTGCTTTTTGTCGGACTGCTTCTCTCCCGGACCCGAGTCTTCCTTTGGCACTCGATCCGGCTTTTTAAGTTCAGAAGGCGGGCTAGTGTTAAGAGTGGCGGCGCTGGCGACCTGAGCGGCCATGATATACCCCCCCCCCCACCACCACCACCTCTCTCCCTCTCTCAGCGAGTCAGTCACAATCAAACGCTAGCATTGAATATTAATAATTGTTTAGAACCAGTAATCCTTGTGTCGGTTCATTCCCACCCTTATTCCGGACCGAACCCGGTGGCCATCCCTCCGGTTCCGGCTCCGTAAATGGGTTAGAGAGATGATGGAGGCTCCATACAACGCGATGAGAAGCGACAGAAATTGTTGTGGGAGTTGTGTTACTGAGCCCGGGTAGAGGGAGCTAGCCCAACCAACACGAGGCTCCGCTACATACTGCCATTTTACCGAGCAGCGCGGACGGCAGCAAAACACGGAGCGGCTCCGCTCAGAGCCGGACTGAACCGTTTTCTCCAACTAAATCATGTTGGCTGTTTTTTTTTTTTTTTTTTTTTTTTACATCTTATATGGAATATTTTCTACCTACGACGAGTATTTTTGTGTATTTAACTCAGAAGCAACACGAAAAGTAAAGACGCCATGGATTTTATGTATGCTGTTTATTTATAGCTTTTTTCTATATGGATGAAACATCTATAGGGGTTTATTACACCATATGAGACACAAAGCTCCTGGTAATTAAGTTGCCTACATAGGGACAAAAACACACAAATAAGCAGTTTTAATTGTCTGTGTGTCTTATTACCTGTGTTTTCATCACATCTCACTTTGTGCCTAACTTGTTTTTCATTTTTGAATCAATTTTTGGTCAAATTTTCTCTTATTTAAGCTCATTTTGAATTCCCTGGCACAAAAAGATGGTGCACGGGTGCTAATGTTTATTCCTGTCTGAAAGCATTTGAGGACCCACTGGACAGACTTGAATGAAACTCTCAAAATAGGATTACTTACCCAAATAAAGATGCCCGCCTTAGCTCACTCACCTTGTTAAACACAAATTTATTTTAATTTTTGTGCACAAACATTTTTGCATTCTAGATGTTGTTTTACTGCCGTTTTTATTCCCCCCTCCAATTTATTCTGTTTGCACTAAAATACCCAAACAAAAGCTGGTTGATACTGTTGTGCATCATCATCTGCAATAAAGTTCTGTTCAAAATAACTCAAAATTTATGCTGAGCTAAAATGTGTGCTTTTAATCTGAGAGATTTTGCAATAATGGTAATCTCAACATTTGATAAAAGCAGCTACAACTTCCTCTTTTCTCAACATGAGCTGATCTCTATTTAAAACTCTGCCTTCAAAACATATTCTGCCTTTAATTTGTACAATAATTGCACTTTTTCTTGCTCATATAGTTTTCTGTGTGGCTGGGCACTGTCTTCATTTATTTGTGCGAAATCAAATCATTCACATTACATTTGTAATTAAACTTAAAGAACAAGTCACCCCCTGCCAGAGTCTTACTCCACTCCCACTTCCTGTTTGAAAAATGCAAAAAATGTTGCCTGGCAGACTGAAAGGGCGGAGCCACTAACAAATACACACACACACACGACATTGTGACCTCATAATGTACCAGCTGACATCATAGTGTACTTCTTGGCCTATAGCAATAGCAGATTAAATTTAAATGCAATGCAGAGTTTTTACCTGACAACTGTGCAACAATGACAGTTTTAGGCAGAATATTTAAATTTTAACTAAGATGCACTTAAGTGCCAAATGATTGACTGCATTTATGTAGCTAATCAGCAAAAAAGAAATGGATTTGGGGGTGACTTGCTCTTTAAATAATAGCATTAATTTATTTCACGACAGCTTTTTAGTGGGATTTTTTTTTAGTGATCTATGTCTGACAAACACATGCTGAGAGCCTTTTAAAAATGTTCCGGACTCTCTAAACATCATTTTATTAAAAACCAAAGAAAGCTTGGGACTGTTTCTGGTTAAATGTCCCTGTCTTTGCTTGCTGGTGTTTCTGACAGCTATTTAGGCAGCACACACAGGTTTTTCCACGGCAGAGGGAGGAAGCCTTGCAGCATTACCAATGCACATTCCCTGTTCTTCCCTCCCCTGCCTGTCTGCTCTCCTCTACCACCCCCTCTCCTCTCTCCTCTGTCTGTATCTCACTCCGGCAGAAACACTCTCTGCTGAGCGTGGGGGGATGGGCGCTCTCAGCCTGCTAACATTAAACCAAACAGGGGGAGAAGAAGAGAGACTTTATCTAGCAGAAAGAACACACAAGGACAGTTTCAAAGTCTCGCAAGTGTTAGAAAAAATAAAAATGAACATTTGAGCTCCATTCGTCACAAGCAAAATGAGGCAGATGGTGTTTTTTTCTTCACACACACACACACACACACACACACACACACACACACACACACACACACACACACACACACACACACACACACACACACACACACACACACACACAAGGGTGTGTGTACTGCATTGTGCAGGGTGGAATCAGAATGAAAAGTAAGCTCAGAGTTTTGGTTTGGTTTATTGTGGGAAATTAATACAATTTATTACAGGAGCTATTATAGTGTCTTATGTCATTAAATTGGTGTGTAAGTGGGCCAAGGCAGGATCTTTCGGTTTCTTTTCCTCACGCGCGCGCGCGCCGGCGCGAACCGTCTCCTGCTCTCTCTTCTCACACACAAACACACATCTATCTACCTCTAGGGGGGAAGGCAGGAAGTACCACCGATGAGGCACAGTCGATCACATGTACAAACATCGAAACACAATTTAACATTCTGCCTGACACACCCCCTAATACGCGCGCGCGCACACACACACAGCTTTAAAGGCAGGAAGATGTCCACACCACACAGGGTTAATGTGATTTCCCACATCGTTGCAGGCCAGGCTCACAAACTGGATCACGCTTTTTATTTTAGTCAAACTGAAACTCAGGAGGGAGAGACAGAGGAATAAAAATCGTACCAAGTGCATCTTTGATAAGTTTTATTAGCTGATGTAAGGTGTAAGTGTGGATTAACATTTTGCTTCAAATGAGTAAAGCCGCGTACAGGAGGAGCAGAAACAGGGTTTAATTTACAAAGAGAGAATATCTTCCATCCCAAAGAGCAGACACAGGCCCAGTTGTGCAGAAACACAGATTTAATGTGGCTTCCTCTCCCCGCCTGACTTCATTTTTCTGCTCTGGTCGTTTGAAAGAACCGGAACAGATTTTAGTGGATCAGGAAGGAGATGGTGAACGCGCCGGCGCCACCTGCTGGTCCGAACACAAACTACAGGCACGTGTCTCCTACCCAACTCTCAAATTGGGTTGATAAAATTACACATTCAATGGTTGTAGAATAAATATAGAAAAGACTCCGGTGATGCAAACGTAACGAGGCATGTAGACACATTCTGCAGCAAACACACTTGCTGTTAGATGAAAACCTGCATGCCAACGCTGAGAACCCACGTGTTCTTACAGAAATCCATCCTTTTAGTTATTTTACCCCAACACCTCTAAGATGCACACATCTCATGTTGCTTTCCACATTCATTACAAGTCTTTATTATTTCCTCAAGCATCTGTTCTGATCTAATTGTTCACAGCTGCACAAATTAAAATGACAAAAATATTCTTTTTCATTTAAAGATGTTGAACATCTTTTTAAGCAAGTAGAAATACACAAACAACAAGACTACCTTAGAACATCTATTATAAAAAAAACAGTTTCTGTATTTATTGTAGTAAAAGTAAAAAACAAAAACAAAGCCAAACTAATGGCACTGCTAAACAAAGCTCAGCCGTTGCTCTCTTCTGCGTTCCTCGTTGTGGTTCCTCCGAGGTGTGGTGAAACTATTTTACTGTGCGGCAGCCAAATTTAGTTCCCGTCTATCCAGCTCTCTTGTACCGCGGATAAATTCAGGACGGCCAAGAGCGATGTTGCCAAGTCTGAACAGGTAAGTCTGAGCTTTCTGTTTTAAAGCTGCATTATTTCCTCCTCCACAGTCTTTGCACTGGTTTCAACGTACTTCTCTTGCACACCAAGAGCACTGCAGGGTGGAACGTCAAGAAAAACCCAAACAAGATGAGTGAATGGTCTATTTATATAACCATGCTGGTAGGGTCATTAACTAATATGTCAGTGATGAAATAGAATCCTAATTAAGTGCTAAGTGGTAAAAGTGGCTTCAGGTCTGAAGTGAAAACAGATGAGTCATCAGAGTTGGGGAAAGGATACGAGCTGAACTGGAAGTCTGCTCCCACTGCAGCCGACATCATCGCCTGCAGATTTCTCTCCTCCAAGTCACCAAAGCAGTAGCCGTTGGCCTTGTCCACCGCTCGCAAGACCTGAATCATGCTCTCTTTGTCCTGGAGAGAAAAAAACAAAACAAAAGCACGTCATCTGGGATTTCCTCGTAAAAATTCTCTGAAACTATTTAAATTAGTCGACCAAAAACCTGACAAAATCCTGTTGGAGGTCCTTTGTATTTGTTCTTTTCCTGACTTATAACAGCAGGTAATCTCAGTATCCGCTAAACTTTTCAAATCTAGTTTCATCTTAACCCAGTTGCGTTTATCTCCTTCCAAGGATTTCTGAAGCCTTCTTGGAAACGTGGTGACTCCACAGCCTCCCGTGTTTTTGTTAATCAAGGTTTGGTTCTGGGAGATAAGCTGCACACAAAACCACAAGTAGTAAAGGTCTTTGACACAAGGTCAATCTTTCAAAAAAATATACTCTCAGGGTCAAAAGGTAGGCTTTCTTGCTTTTTAAATCTGTGCTAAATACCTGAGGTTACCTAGGTAACAAGTGGCTGCATAGGCTGGCTGGGGCATTCCCATCCTCACCACTAGAGCCGCTGTGTCTATTGTGTGGGTCTCTTAGAGTAATCAAACAGTTTTCCAGTTAAAAGTAATGTCAGGGACAAATGTGGTGTTTCATGTTAACTGTCCGTTCCATCGGAGGATAACTGCGCCAATCTTCAGGTTCAAATGCTAAAAGCAATTCATGATGGTCTGGTTTGAACTGAGAAATAGGAGGTGAGTGACCTGTGATTTCTCTGAACAGTTAGAAAGCCAACGTCAGACCTTAAAGTGATTTCTACGGACGTTCTGTGGGAACTCCGTCTTTGTAAAATCTACGAGCAAAAACGCACCAAAGAACTTGGTGCTCAGACCTCTGAGTGTACTAGAGCACCTTTGGTACAAAACTAATCTCAAATGAAATGCAAACGTACGTAATAAATATCCACTTGTGTGGTTTTACAGCTCAGGCAACAGGAAGCGGAAGTGTGAACCTTTAAAAAGCCACAACTGCACAACTAAAACCCGCAGTGATACCTGCACACTGAGAGGGACAAAGGAGACCAGGCTGTAATCTTGTATAACTTCGGCCAACTTCTCATTAAGGCGGCGAAACTTTTTAAAGAACGGATCTGCAGCCAAGTGATCGAGGAGAAAGGTCAGGTCCAAAACTTCGGTGTAAAAATCCAGGTTGAAGGCTGTAAATAAGGACAATAAGTTGAATGCTTGGTGTACAAGTTAGAAAACTATGCGTGTCATTCGAGAGAAACAAGCCACATTTATATTGTGTTTTCTGTTTATTTTGTATTTAGTTACAGCTAGCAGCTCTTGGTTTTACCTAGTTTTCCATACTGCTCAATCAAATCCATCTTAGAGAGGACATTGACGTGGGGCAGCTCCACGTGCAGCATGGTGGAAAGAGACGTGCACAGCACAGAGATGAACTTGGCTGGGTCAGCGCAGTAGTGAGAGTCCACAAGGTGCACCGCTGTCAGCTAAGGAGACGATTAGTGGAAAATCATCATCACCATCATGAGCATCTAGGGTGAAGAATGATCCCAACTTACCCTGAAATTCCACTTGGCCAGCTGTGAGAAAATGTTCTTTACTGAATGTTGGTGTGTGTAAAGCTCCACCTGACCGGGACAGTCAAACAAAAAGTAACAGTCTCTGTATTGTGCCAGCTTGCTCTCCAGCCAGTCCAGGTTCGTCTCCACATACTCCATACAATAGAGAAGTCCCCCGTTGGGTCCAAGCTTCAGATTCTCCATAACATCATCCAGAGTGACCAGATCTGAGATGTCCACCGCGCAGGAGCACGGTTTTCCTTCATTAGCTGGGTCCATGTTCACCACGACCACCTTGCGTCCCAGACTAGTTAGGAACTGCTGCATGCCCTGGCAGTAAGTGGTTTTACCTGAGCCCGGGGGTCCGATGACAACCTGACCGAAACGCAGTGGGGGCTTTCCTACGGTCTCAGAGGTCATGGTTTAGAAATGCTCTCATCAGGCTGAGGGAGTTCACATCGGATGAGACCAGAAGATGTAAAAGGAACAACAACAACAACAACAAAAGACGTGCTGATGTGGCGTTAAAAAGGGCTCAGGTCAGTTTAGCTTCCCGCGTGAACGTTGTAACGCACTAAATGAGTCTTAAGCGAGTCGCTACACCCAACTAAGTTCTACAACTTTATAAACGTGCGACTCTTTGATCCAAAACACAACCTCAAACGAACAGAAATGCGCTGTAGCTGCACGGATTTGTTCATAAACACCAATGCGAGCCACACGTTGCGTACAAATGAATCAACACATAACAAATGCTAGCTTAAGCTAACAGGAAATACGTCCGGGTTAAAGGTCACGCTTGTCAAAATAAAAGCACTTTACGTAGCAGCGCAGCTCGAATGAAGAAACCCGGTTAATTTTGAGAGCACTTTAGTTTACTTTATCGCTACTTTGTATCACTTTATTATTTGCTCTAAACAATATTTGAATACAAAAAACAATGCTTGATGGAACATTAGGTTTCTCTGACTGAATTAATAAAAACGATTCTCAAATAATCTGAGTAAGTTAAAAATGCTTTAATACAAACTTGATACAAATATCAAACAGGTTAATATACAGATTTTATCAAACAGAACCAGTCATCTTTTTAAACCAATGACGCCCCCTGGTGTCCATCCTCTGTACTTCATGCTGGTGTTAGGTTGGCGTCTCAGTAAGGTGTCACCTTTATCAATGTCTTTAGGTTTATCGTACACTGTACATATGAGATGGTTTGTTTTGGCCTTTTTTAATGGATGCAATAACAGTTTTTCTCCATGATACCTGCAAGAAAACAAAACATCAGTATCCGATCGTTTTGTTTGCTCCCAGCTGTTGACTGATTGTGTTTCCGTGTTTTAACTGACCCAAAGCCCCTCTTGCATTTGGGATGTTGACCCTCATTCTCCAGAGCTTCAGAAATCCCAACCTGGCTGTCTCCCAGTCCCTCGCCATCTTTCCAGCCCTGCCTTTCCATTATGCGTCGACCAAAACCCTAAACCAAATAACATTTACTCTAAATTATTATTACAAAATAAAAAAATTCTCATCAAAAGAGCACACAAGAATGCAGAGAAATATTTGTGTGCACGCACCAAATCAGTGTAAATGAACTGATTCTGGATGTCTGGTGAATACTCAGCAATGACTGGTGAGGGGCGTTGCTGTAGGTGTGTGAGTGTGTTATGTCATGGTATATAAAGGTTATGTCCATAGACGTGTGGGTATTTATGTAGGAATGTGGAAGTGGGGTGAGCTGGGGGATGCCATGTTTTGTTTTGTTGACCGTGTTAAATGATCAAGGTTAACCTCCCACTACTTGTACCTGGTCAGCCTGTGTCTCAGTCTGATGAATGAATCGGGATTGAACGAAGAAAGAACGGATTAAATGAATAATGTTGGATAGAAGCGGCTGGTATTATTGACCGGGCACGCGTCGGACAAACTGTTCCTCCAAGTTCAGCCCATGGTGGACCTCAAACACAACCACAACAGCATCTTGCCCTTACCTTAGAGAACCTCTCAAATCTTCCAATCGACTGATTGTGCCCTGATCCATCTTCAAGACCATCCCTAAGTCTCTTTTCATATCGCATGCTGACGTAGTCCCGAGCGTCCATGTCTCCTCCATCTGAGAGACGAGGGTTAATGATACGGCTGCATCTACACACTGATTTTCTTTTAGGGTTTAAGCTGCCCACATACCTTTTTCATAGTAAACACTCATGTCAACATCCCAGTCGTCTGCCGTTTGCTCATCAAAATCTAGAAGGAAGAAAACACATGAAAATATGATTATTTAAAAACCCAAAGATAATAAGGCTGAAAACCTATAAATCATAAAAGTACTAAAATAATAAGCATGCCTTTCATTTTTTCCAAGCATTGCTAAAATGCACTCCGCCTGAGAGCCATTTTTTATAAAGCATGTCCTGCACCGTGCGCTACGGAGCTGGTGCAGCATGGGGGAACATGAAAACACAAAGGCTTTATAAGTTTATTTGGGGGTGACTTGCTCTTTAAAGGAATCTTTTTTTAGCTGAGAAAGATCTAATGAAGATGCGCCACCTCCAGAGCCATGCTATAAAAAAACGGTGCTAGCATGGCGAGTCAGACTGATCTGAATTTTTTAGCGTTACCTCCTTCTTCCTCTTCCTGCCAGTACTGAGCGTCTGTGTAGAACACCAGACCTGGACCTCCCTTCTCCCACTTCAACTCAATCTCTTCTTCATACAGTCTCTCCTTTGTTCTCTCCTGGCTCGTCACATCTTCATGCAGAGCCTCGTGGCGCTCCCATTCTTCACAGTAGTCATCATCCTGCAACCAATCACGCTTGATCAGACAACAGCAACACTTATTTGACTTCTGACAGCTACAGATAAATATTCATCTAAACCCACATCATCTGCATTTGACTGAACATCCTCCTCTTCATCTCCGTTCTGTATCTCCTCAGCCTTTGCTTCTTGTCTGTCATCAGTCAGGAGTTTTGATCTTGAAGATCGAGCCGTCCCAGTCCTCAGTCCAGTTATTTCATGCCCAGTAGCTGTTAAGACAGTCTCTTCTGTGGCTGGGAGGGTACAGGTATTGTGGTACTGGAAAGGCACGTTTCCATAGCGACGACTAGAGCTGGTCTTCGGGAAAGTGAGACCTAACTTGCGAATGAGACGAGGGGGCAGGCGACAGGACTGGATGAGCTGGAGGAAGACCTTCACAGGTGTACCCACGTTCCCGTTCTGCATCAGCGAAGGTGGGTTCAGCTCAGGTAAGCTCCTCAGGTCGGCCTCCGTGAACTGCTCAGTTAAGGAGACGCGATGACGCAGCTCGTACTTGGTTTTATAAGGGAATGATCCTTCACCTGAAACAACAGAAAGACAGTGCTATAGACAACAATCTGTCACGTCACAAATAAATCACCGATCGTCAGTAGGGCTTGGGATCACGCGTTGCATTCTGGCACGTGGCAGCCACGTTGATGGCCTCACGAGTGTAAACAAACCGTAGAAACAAACTGTACATCAAAGAGAAAAGGCAGAGTTGGGAGAAAGAAACTAATAAATAGGTTTAAATTCCAAAAAGGACGCAAAATACACAGGGACACGGTAAATATGGAAACCAGGGACTGGTTAATGAACCAAATCAGCATTAAAAATGGTTTGGATCCATATGAAAGACCCAATAAAGACAGGAGCACCCACAATGACGTGTTGTAGTCGTAGAAATGCACAATGAACATTTTCAACTACGTGGTCATGTCGGTAGAAGGGGTAGGATGACACAAGCTGAGTGTCAGGAACTGATTGTTTTAGGCACAGGAAGTAATAAAAACATGCTGCTGTCAGCCTGTAGAAGTTCTGGCCAAACTTTATTATTTTATTTCACGGGCTGCAGTGATATTGAATCATGTTAAACTCAACTTTAAGACAACCGGGAGGAAGTGTTCTTGTTTTCCATACCTGCTCCCTCAGACACGATGAACATCAGGAGATAAAAGTCAAAATGACACCTAAGGACATTGCCTTAGCAGTGAGAGCTGGTGAAAGAAATTCTTGGGCGTGCTATTGGTGAAATATATCCCATCTTAGTCCATAATAAGTGTTAAATGAACAGTTGAAAATGAACTACAATTCCAAAACAACAAATCATTTCCCTCCTCCTAAAAAGCAGTGTCAGATGAAGCCAAATTTAAAACGTACAGCTAAAGTAGACTGTGATTGCTATGCTACTCAAATAAATATGCAGGACTAAGGTGTGAGCCTAATCCGGTGTCTCAATCATCTGCTCTGAGGCGCACCTCAGAGCACAATACTCATCTTGGCCAGTAGGTGGCAGTAACACACCACATACAAATTAAATTAGATATGCTGTTTTATGCATGTTGATGGTTTTAAACAATATATTCCCATAAAATGAGAACAAATAAACACAGTTTACAGCAACAGATATGACTGCAGTTCTATATTAAACCAACAGTGAGTTTATGTAAATGAGGAAGTGACAGAGTGAGTGGAAATTAGATCCAGCTCCTTCTATCATGCTAGCTAGTTGTTTTTTGTGAGCTGTCAGCCAGCGCCCCAGAGGCATTAAATTCACGGATGCTGACTGGCCCCAAATTCCCCAGTTCTCCCTAGCAACAAAATATAATTGGTAGTCTAGCTGCAGTTCAGGGGTACGTTTCCCAGCGCCCCAGGAGAGAAACAGTGAGTCTGTTGGAGGAAATCACAGTTTAATGAGGGATAGCTGCTGAAGATGATGAGTAAATAATTCAGATTAGATGAAGCCACACACAATTAACCAAATCTGACACACTTAAAGTAAATGTATGAATATAAATTGGTTAGTCATGGAGATCCATCAGCTAGTTGGCTATAATTAAATCCTAATTCAGCCCACAGACACCTACTGTTATCATTATCAGCAAATATAAACTAAACACCCAACATTTTAATTGAATGTTTATTATTTGTTAATGTTTTAGTATTTTCTGTCTTAAACAAAGCTTGGTTCATGATCCAACACACTTCTGAAACTCAGATAATGAGGAATAATTAGGTGAAAAATAAATAGGTCAGATTTTCTGGGGAAGAGGAAAGTCTCGTCGGCTCACTTGGATTGCTACTATAAGGCGACCAAACACCACCTTCCAGGGTATTTTCATTCTGGTAAGTTACAGATGGTGTACGTTTTTATACATTGTTTCTAGAGCTGAAACAACTAATCGATTTAATCGATTCTAATCGATTATTAAAATAGTTAACAACTTTTTTAGTCATCGATTAGTTGTTTAATAATCACATTTTACCGCATAAAGTCTATTTTTACCACAATCTGTTCAATTTGCCGCCAGTGTGTGGCAGTAATGAGCCACTGATCTACCAGTGGAGCCGTAGAAGAAGAAATGAGCCAATAAGTGCCCTCGGTTTTCATGACGTATCACTTTACTGACGCGCATCTTGCTGTGAGAGATGGCGGAACAAGAAGAAACACGGAAGAAAAATAGAAGCGACAATACTGAAGAGAAACCCCGGACAAAAACCTCACGAGTATGGGAGCACTTCACTCTAGATGTCATGAAAAGACGGGTGACCTGCAAAATATGCAAAAACCATCTAGCATGGCACGGAATCACGACGTCCCTAAGTGAACATTTGAGACGAAAACATGTGGGGGCTGATGCAGCAGAGTAAGAGCCAGCTCGGTAAGTAACAGAAAATAAACAAGCTAATGGTCCATCACTACATGCCGATCAAATTTGGGACTTAGTGTTTTAGCTGAGTTCGTTATAGTGGATGTTAAACATGTTTTTTTTTTTGCCGCATCAGTTTACGGTGTTCTACTTCTGATTGACTAAATGCAATCGTGAATCTCCTCCGTGTTGTGAATCATGCGCTTGCCAAATTTAGCACGTCTGTTTATAAGAATGTTCTCGTTAAGAGAAAAACGGCACAAACCCATAACTATGTTCCTCATTCAAAAAAGGACAACTCCGCGGAGAAAAATATACAGACGAGCTGTGTCCAGGTGAATATAATGCGACATAGTTGAACGCTTTCAATTTTTAAGTACAGGAGAAATTCAGAAAGTCTTTTTCTTTACTATTAAAAGGCTGTTTTACTATCTAATGCTGTAAAACGCCTCACAACACATTTTTGTCAAAATAAATGATCACTGTATATTGTTAATTAATTAAAATAATATAATATTGATTTAGAGTTGTAGTGTCTGTGCTGCTTTATTTTATATGTGTACTTATTTCAGTCCATTTGTGTTTCTTATGCAGAAAAAAAACAAGCAACGATGGACAACTACATGGGGAACAAGACACTCACCCCTCAGCAATGCATAACACTTACAAACTCTATTCTAGATTCTACATTATTTTTTATGGAATTTACCTCTTATATTTTGATGCCAAAAAATTATTCTGGACTGATATTTTGCACTGTTTAGCTCATTTTACACCACTGACTGTGTTCATGTGCAATAAAATAGATTGCAGTCAACTGCACAATTCTCCTATGTTTTTCTGTTTCTTACTGAAATGTATTCATCACTTGTATAGGTTAAATAGCTAAACAATAACAAACCGATTAATCGAAAAAATAATCGACAGATTAATCGATTATGAAAATAATCGTTAGTTGCAGCCCTAATTGTTTCTTTCCTTCAACCATGACATACACACACACACAGAGGCTACACACACAAACCGGTAAGCTAATGCAGGTGCACTGACATACTACACAGCTTCTCTTCCTACCCTTGTTCTGTGGAAAGACAATTTTGACTGTTTTACTGGAAAACCCAACAAATAAAACGTTTACTTTTCATCCAGATGTTTGCATCCGCTCACAGCACAAACAAGATAGCCGAAAATGTTCAGGGTATCGGCAGGTTTAAGGGAGCCAAATTTAAGGCTTTTTAAGACCTTTTTCAAGGCCACTTTGACCAAATTTAAACTTTTTTTAAAAGTTGAATTTAAGCTTAACAGGTGCTAACCACATCGCGAACGTGGGATTAGCCATCCAGTTACCATTAAACTTGCAATTCCCCATGGCGCAAGCTCTCACTAGCTTAACCAGCTAATGTGCTCATCTAAAAATAGCCCCCTTTCACAACCAACTGAATGTGTATGGTTTTGCTTACACCATTATCACACACGAGAAATGCTGAACACTAACTAGAAATTCATGAAAATTTTATAGATATAAAAGAATCTTGTTTAGTGGGCCTTTGGTAATTTAAGACCTTTGGAAACTGTATTTAAGGATTATTTGTACTTTTTAAGGATTTTTAAGGCCTTAAATTTTGAAAAGCAAATTTAAAACTTTTTAAGGACCCGCGGATAACCTGAATGTTAGTTATGCAGAACTGCAGCAGCAACGATATGTCATCCAGCCTCTTCTAGACTGCCTACGTGATGTGAAATGTTGGCTGGCCACAAATTTTCTGCATCTCAATGATTCCAAGACTGAACTGATCCTGTTTAATCCGGTCAGATCTAGCTCATTCCAAACCCCAGATCTTTCATCTATTTCTCAAAATCTAAAAACCGTTGTGACAAACCTGGGTGTGAAGATGGATTCATCTGTAAGGGTGAACGCCCAGGTCAATGCCACTGTAAAATCTTGTTTTTTCCAACTCCACCATCTGTCCAAATTAAGAGCCGTTTTATCTAGAAAAAATTTGGAATCAGTTGTTCATGCCTTCATCGCATCTAGGCCCGACTACTCAAACGCAGTTTTGCTGGGTGTCAATAAGTCAACCCTTGCCCGACTTCAACTCGTTCAAAACGCAGCTGCTAGATTCCTAACACGTACTGACAGGCGCCAGCATATCACACCAGTTCTCAAATTCCTTCATTGGTTGCCCATCACTTTCAGGGTACAATATACTAACTGCTACTTTTTGTTTTCAAATCCCTCCATGGTCTTGCCCCCGTGTACTTATCGGACCTTCTTTCAATTTATACTCCCGGTCGCACACTCAGGTCCTCCAGCCTGTTGTTCCTCGAGGTCCCGAAAGCGTGTCACAAATCATGTGGACAAAGAGCTTTCTCTGTTGCCGTTCCTAAACTGTGGAACGAACTTCCAGTCACAGTTCGACTGGCACCCACCTTGGCAGATTTTAAGTCTAGACTAAAGACACACTATTTTACCCTTGCTTTTAACAGTTAGCTGTTAGTTTGGCTTTTACTACTCTTATTTTATTGTCCATTGTAAGGTTTCATTGGTTTTAATGGTACTTTTTTTTGTCTGCTGTATTTTATAGTACTGTTTTAAGTTTTTTTAATCTCTATTATTGTGCGACTGTTCAGCACTTTGGTCAGCCATATGGCTGTGTTTTTAAAGTGCTTAATAAATAAAGGTGGTATGGTATGGTGTGATGATCCGACCTTGGGCCGTTCATATGGATCAAAATCATTTATTATGCTCACTTCGTCTTTATTTAATGTATCCCTGTATATTCCGCATCCTTTTGGGGTATGTATAATGTTTAACATTTTCTTTCACCCAAATCTGCTCCTTCTCTGCGACAGCACCTGTTGTTTCACGGTTTGTTTACATCCCAGAATGCTATGCGTAATCACGTGTGACCACCGGTGACCACAAGGCCTATCGGGTGGTGGTGGCCTGGGATGGCTGCAAATTCCCGTCCCAGTCCGCCCCTGCCACTAATAAATGATATCGTTCATTTTATCTGAAGTTCTTTTTCAGTAGAAACTATTGTTCCCCTAAGGTCTTATTTAAGACTAGAGTGCCGTACCTTTGTCCTGTGAAACTTTAACTCTCCTGATAACGCAGCGCCTGGAGAGCCAGCTCCCCTTCGAGTCGATCCAGTGGTTTCCCGCGTACATGTGGATGAAGCGGTCAGCATCTTTAGCACCGACTGATGCGATACAGCACTTGGACTTCACCGCCCGCTTTGGCTCAGAGCTGCTAACACCGGAGCTCTCTCCGTCTCCACACACCGTGGTTTCGGTTCTTTCAGGCTCTCTGAGAACTTCCGGCCGATGTCGATAGTGAAAACAACAAAAACCACCGCTTTCTATGAACTGGCTGAAGTAATTTCTCAGGTCTGCTGAACGGAAAGCAGCGGGGATGTTACTTATCGCTACATACGCAAGAGGCTCAGAGTCGCAGTCCGCCATGTTTGTCTGTCAAACGTCAGCAACAAACACGACGCACGGCTTGACGTAACATCCGCTTCCTTTGCGTTGCCAGTGAAATCGAAGGTGACCAAACATCCGGAGTACTTTGGTTCTGGTAATGTACTTTGTACATAAATGCAGCTGTATTTAGTTCTATTGCATCTTTGCATTTTAATATTTTAGAATGAGCTAACAATGGGTCGGTATGTTCTATTACGAATAATCCTCATAGTGAACTTTTGCAGTGTTTAGAGGCTGACCGATATGATTTTTTTTAAGGCCGATGCCGATACAGATTTTTTAAAGTATTTTGTTGCTGGTATATATTTAATGTTGTAGCGATGGACTGGCACTCTGTCCAGGGTGTATCACGCTTGATTGCCAATTGACCGCTGGAGATAGGCACCAGCCCCCCCGCGACCCTATATGGACAAGCGGGTTCAGACAATGGATGGATGGAGGTTGTAGCATCCAGAGCAGAACATTGATTGTGAAAGACAACTGAACACTCACTGTGTGCAATATAAATTAAACAAGTCAACACATCTTTTAATATTCATTGAACTTCATATATAAAACAAACTCAAAATCCAGTGTTGCATTAATGTTTCACTAACATCTTGCATTGATGATGGAAGTCTGATCGCAGCACAAAGCCTTCTCCAGCACATCCCAAAGACTCTCATTGGGGTGAAGGTCTGGACTCTGTGGTGGCCGATCCATGTGTGAAAATGATGTCTCATGCTCCCTGAACCACTCTTTCACTATTTGAGCCCGATGAATCCTGGCATTGTCATTCAGGATATTCAGGTAGTCAGCTGACCTCATTCTTGGAGCACATCCTGTTGCTGAACCTAGACCTGACCACCTGCAGCAAGCCCAGATCATAGCACTGCCCCCACAGGCTTGTAGAGTAGGCACTAGGCATGATGGGTGCATCACTTCATCTGCCTCTCTTCTTACCCTGATGCACCATCACTCTGGAACAGGGTCCATCTGGACTCATCAGACCAGTTTTTAATGAAGTGTTGGACAGTTCTTAACCCAGTTTTAGTCATTTCTGCGTCTCATTAGATGTTTTCTCTGCTTGATGCCGATGACCTGACCCTTCTCACACAGACGAACATCTTTTCCACGACCACCAGATGTGTCTTTCCACATGTTTGTGGAGGAAATGAGAAGCAACCCCTCCAGTTAGGGTTAAATAACTTGTTGCCATGCAGTAATTACTCATTAGGAGGCTCATCTTTGCTTATTTAAATCCAGGTGGTGACTTTTTTGGGGATGGACAGTGTATTTTAACCACATATAAATAATTGAACAATAATAAATAATTTTATAATAAGAAACCCACCCAAGCCCACCCCCTCTCACCCAGAGCAGCCCCCCTAAATAACTTTTTCTTTTCTTTTTTATTTGAATTGCCAGCAAATTGCCAAATTAGGTGTTGAATCATGTTTAAATTCACTAAAATATGAAGTCAGATCTGGAGGAGATTCTTGTTTCATTTTAAAACACGTTCCCAGAGGCAGTGATGAAATCTGCTCAGTCCGAGTTCATTGACCCAGAGGACAGCTTTAACTGTGGCCTTCAACTCAGCTTTTATCGTTGCGTCTTGTTAGTAATGGGCTGTAAAACTAAACTCAGGAGTCTGGACCCTGACATCATTTCTACACATTATATTACACAGGTTACAGCGTCATGGTCATTCTGGTTTGTACAAACTCGTATGTGCAATTAATTAACTAATAGTGAAAGAATGCTTTAAAAGTGCTCGGCTTCTGACCAAGTCCTCCAAACACACCCACATCACCCCGCTTCTCCTCCAGCTTCACTGGCTGCCAGTCAACTTCAGGGTTCATTTGAAGATCCTGGTTCTGGTCTATAGGGCCTTACATGGACAAGCACCATCTTACATTGGTGATCTTCTTAGTCCCTACACCCCCAGCAGGTCCCTGAGGTCCAGTGATCAAAGCCTACTGGTTGTGCAGCACCAGCCTAAAGGTCAAAGGTGACAGATCATTTGCTGTTGTGGCCCCCAGACTCTGGACATCTCTCCCCCTGAGCCTGAGATCAGTGGACTCAGTGGTCTCCTTTAAAAAGCAGCTGAAGACTCACTTGTTCAAGCTGGTTTGGTGTGACCTCCTGTGGATTCTTCCTGACTACTTCCTCTTCAAGCTGTTTCTGCCAATTCTGTCTTTGATCCTGACTACCTTTTCTCGTTCATTTTTTAATTCTTCCTCTGCACTTTTAATTTTTCCTGTTTTCTTGAGGTGGTTATTTCCCCCTGGGAAGTTTAGAAACTGTCTGTTGCCTGACGAGCTGAAACTGTTTTGGAATTGGGTTTAGAGCTGCATTGTAGGTGCTGGAAGGGTGGAACCTACAGTGCAGCTTTAAACCCAATTCCAAAACAACCATCATAACACATAACGACATAAATGACTCCTCATGGGGTAGTGAGGATGGACACGTCTAGGTAGTTCAGCTTGTAGACAGCTACAGTTTTTAACCCTCCCACTGTCCTAATGGGTGTGACCCCGCGAGGAAAGTTGACCATTGAGCAGAACTGATGGTTTATCCCTTGAGGTACAAGTGGCAGGGGTGAGGAGTGAGCACCACCTCACCCCTGCCACGTGGACCTCAAGGGATAAACCATCAGTTCTGCTCAATGGTCAACTTTCCTTGCGGGGTCACACCCATTAGGACAGTGGGAGGGTTAAGCTTGACCCTCAGAAATGACAAAGCTCCTTGGATGAGAGGCAAAACATCTTCAAGAAACCAAAGAAGTCCAGTTGCCTTCATTTGAACCCTTTGGACATCCATCACACTGGATGACTGAAAACCTTCACTAGCATACTGATAACTCAGTCCTTAATAAATCATTGTAATTTGACACAAACATGCTCAGAAGTAGATATGTAAGTGTGGATTCAATTCTATGAATTGAGCTTCCAGGTTAAATAACTGATCTTTGTGGTGATGACCCGGTAAAACAGGAGCCAGACAGAGTCCTGTTCTACATCTGACGGTCATCACACACACACACACACACACACACACACACACACACACACACACACACACACACACACACACACACACACACACACACACACACACACACACACACACACACACACACACACACACACACACACACACACATTTGGTCGCATGGTGAGTTCACTGACCCAGTGGGAATACACAGCAGCCTTTGCTCAGGAGACGTTTTAGGACAACAAACTGAGTGTCAGTGGGATTCACCGATAGTTCTGCTTGAACTGTAAATATTTTCACAGGAGTGGAAATTCGATTCTGAATTAAGGAGTTACATCACGTTTGCTTCCTTGATTGCAGATTGTTCCTCTTACAGTATGAAGGACATTTTATTTTCTCTTTGGCAGCAGAGATAAGCTGGTGTCCTCCGTGCTTGTCTCCGCCTGCTCCTCACCTCCATAAACTCGGGCCTTATCGCAGGACTTTACAGCTGTCATCGCGCTTCACAACGCTTGAGGGCTGCAGAGTGTTTTGTAGGTCAACTCTGGAGAAAGTCTCACATTCGTGATGATTTTGTGTTTTACTGAAGCTCTCGTGCCTCATCCTGACTTGTTTCAGATCTCGCATTATTGGCCACGAGGATAATTCGGGAACAGAAAAGGAGACTAGGAAACATTTTCCAGAGGAATTTTTCAAGGAATGAGTAAATGGAATGATGCAATAAAACTAAGATTCGGTGACTGGTGCTGCCAGTTGTGTCTGGTGTCTAATCTCTTTATTGCAGTCATACACTTGGAAACTGTCCTTGACTCCAGCGCTCGACGGGTCACCTCCTCCGAGTCTCGGATACTTTAACGGTTCGTGTCAAATAAAAACAGCAGTTCCATGGTTTACGTTATGACTTATGAATGCGGTGATCCCTTTTACAACTCAAAGATCTCTTTTATTTGACAGTTGTGTTTATTTGCGACCGTAATAAAGTCATTTCCTTATCAGTCTGGAACCTCTGTGCCAGGCACGGAGAAGGATGGCGAAACGTTGTATTGCCCGTTACAGACGCCGTGACTCCGACTCCTTGACACTCCAACAGAATAAAATCATGACATAAAACCTGCTCTACAAAGAACAAACACTACAAGCTCCCAGTGGCCTGAGCGGTTTTTAAAGTCAAACGTGATTCAGAAAGTTCAGATCTTCTGTGTGGAACAATAGAGACGATTCCTGACCAGACTGTTAGGCTAACAGCTAGTTTATTAAATACTTAAAGCTGCTTTCCAGAGTTTTCCCCTTTCAGAAATGATGTATGATTTGTCAGAAATCTGTAAAAGTGATTATCTGATCATGTACTGTGATATAATGTAAGCACGCCCCCCGCCCCGCAGAGCTCCGTGCGATAGGAAACTGAGCGCCGACCAGAACTAACCAATAGCGTTAGACGAGCGCTTACTTGCTTCAAATTTAAGGAATACTTCGGCTGATGCAGATTTGATGAACTTTTCACGGACAAGTAAGACTTTAAAATATAAATAAATGAGAACACAGCCTGACATGAGAATAATACTCGTAAAACAACACGTTTCAGCTGTTTGTCGGCTACAGAAGCACATTTATAAACGGAAACGGGAAATCGCCATCTAAAAAAAAACAGAGCGAAAGAGTTTTTGTGTCATATGCTTGTCGGCCACTAGATGGTGCCATCGGATAAGAGAAATACTCCGGAAAGAGACTTTAAAACAACGCAAAGTTAAAGAAATAAGTTTTATGCAAAGATTATTTTATAAGGCTTTGCAATGTTTTAAGTTTTGCACAACACAACTTTTAACAAAGTTTACTGTCATTTGCATTTGAAGGAGAATCAGCTATCTGTAGCATTTCCCGTTTGTAACATCGTTGGTTAGATCTTTATTTTCCTGCCGGTTTACCTGTATAATATAAAACCGAAGGCGGCATAAGCCTGACAAACATCTCAGATCCCATTAGACCACTCACTTCTTCCCCAGGAATAACCCACACCTGCGTATCAACCAACCACATTTAAAATCTCTTTTTGTCCCTTTCGTTGTACGTGTATGTTCATAGCTGAGAACTTTGCACCACCCTTTTGTACAATTCATGTTTCATGTTTGCCCTGCAGAAGGTGATGTAGTGGCAATAAATACATCTTATGTTCATGCTGTTATGTTTATTAAGCTATGCTTAATTTTCTGTCCCTTTTGTTATGTTCTTATAGAAGACTTGGCTAAACTGAGGTTGATGCAAACATCCTTTGTGTGTTTGGGCCATCCAATGATTTGTTATGGTTGATTGCACATGGATGCAACTTAACGCAGAGCACCGGTGTTCTGCTGAGCTGTGGTGGCCTCATGGAGCGGGCCGCCGGCTAGCATGCTGCTGCTAACTACTTAACATACTCCCTCTCTTATTAATAACATTTTACTCTCTTTAACGTTGTATGTGCTACTACTAGTTCACCTGTTGAATCAGTTATATGGGCCATTCCCATCTGTACCGGGTCGGCCCGGGCCGGGTAGCGTAGGTTGTTTACATATCTGGGTGGCCTGGTATTTTTCTGGGCCAACCAAGGCTCATTCTCAGCCCTCTTCTCAAGGGGGTCTGCTTCAGGCCGACCAGGGCCAACACACCCACTGCTGACAGCAAATTCACACCTTCCATTAGAGCAAGCCTCTGATTGGTGGGTAGAATCAGCCCACATGGGCTTAAGGCAAGGATGTGTGGAATAAACCGGGCCAGGCTGGGGCCGACTGGGGCTACCCGGCCCGGGCCGACCCGGTACAGATGGGAATGGCCCATTAGATTCACCCAGATAAAGACAATAAAGTTTATTTCTCACTAAATAGAATATTTAATAAGAAATCACAATCTAGCCATAGGAACACCACTTGGTGTGTGTGTGTGTGTGTGTGTGTGTGTGTGTGTGTGTGTGTGTGTGTGTGTGTGTGTGTGTGTGTGTGTGTGTGTGTGTGTGTGTGTGTGTGTGTGTGTGTGTGTGTGTGTTTGCGCTGACTTCCCAATCCCCACTGTCGCTACACACTTGCTTTTGAGGATTGCTGCAAAGACCTAGTCAGTGACTCGATGCCGTCTGCTGAGTTAGGAGCTATATAAATAATCTGAACTGAAGAAAAACATGTACATTATTGAGATTAGTTGTGAAATGGCCAACAACAAGAGAATGTAACATTTGTAAAAACAATAACACTATTTCTTTTTTGATCAAGATGCTTTTTTAGATAAGTTTGTCTCACAAACGGAACATCTGCAGTTAGAATGCCTCATTTCATTTCAGATGTGTTGACAGCAAAATAAACATGTTCAGAAACTTCTACGTAAATGCAACTGTTACTCAGGAACTGGGCAAAAGCAAATGCAAACAAAGAAACTATAGAAGCAGACATTTGTAAAACGGGTTAATTACGTTCCAGATCACTAACAAACACTTCTGTGCATGTTTCAAATGAAAAACTGGTCTTACACACGACCCTTACGATCACACAAACAACCTTTTAATCTTCTGTGTAATAATCGTGTTAAAGATCGAAAAGGCAGAATTAAAACGCAAATCTTGATGGATATCCATTAACGGTGTGGAACACTGAAAAAAAGTTTTAATTATTATTTCTGATTATAATCGGTCTCCGAGTGTTTCGTTCATGCTGAACATGAAAATAGTCTCCTACACCTAGGATTTGAAAAGCCTGACAGATCTACGCCACGCTGTCACCTAACATTCATGGACTCACCCTCCTTGACTCGCGGCTGTTGTTGGCTTAGCATCCAGGAAACAGCAGAGAGGTAGTAGAAGCTAACGTTAGCACAAGCAACTCCACCACACAGCAGACCTCCTCCAGGCTCGTGTTATTTGTGGAGAGAAAACATCAACGTTGAAGAGCAAACAGAGTCAGTGGTAGAGTCGCGTTGCTGCTAGCCGGTCCGATTTTAAAGGTTAGTAGGTGAAGTGGTTATAAGGTTGAAGTATGCTTTGGGACTTCTGAGGATTAGATGCATTAAGTGTACATTTTACCGTTTGTTCCCACCCCAGAGTTACAGGTTAAGCTATCAATGCAACTTGCCCCTAGGGGGCTCGCTACAGCGATGAACTTGTTTTATATTCTTCCCGAAGTCATTTGGAATCATTTCAATAGTTCCTTTAGTCATCACACACTGTTGAAATTCATCTCCGCATTTGACCCATCCCCGTGGGGAGTGGAGAACTGCAGCTGTGGTCGGGAATTATTTGGTGGTTTTATGCTACTACTACTGTTTCCCTAAAATTGAAGCATAATTCCCACTGTTCCCGGTTTGGAAACGTTTGTCTAAACTAAACTACGTTTGATGAGAACACGATGTGAAGGTCAACGGCCTCCTTTGTGGTCTGGCCTCCTTCCAGCACTACAGGTGTGAGCTGGCGGGTGCAGTGACACAGCGTGGGGCTGATTACCTCTGCAGTCCTTGGTAGCTTGGTACTGCCTGGGTTGATGACACTGCCTTCCAGATAAGGCCAATCCCACTTGATATCCATGTGTGACTCCAGCAGCTACTTCTCAATGAGAAAAGCTTATCTGTTTCCCAGGGTTATTCCAGCAGTCACCTGGCAGAGCGCGCGGTTGTTTTTCACATTGGGTGTATTGACATTTCAAGGTCCACTAAGAAGGGAGGGTTGGCCTTATAAATAAGACTGGAGGAAGCAGCAGCTCTCAGAAGCTCAGACGGAGCCCGTCGTGGCAGAGAAGAGGTTCAGAGGAGCAGCCGCATCGAAGAAAGATGGATAACAGATGCCAGTGTTCCGCTAACAAACAAAGGCAGTTAAACCCGATCCTCTACAACATCTTGAGCCAGATGGACAGCGGTAGACCGACTCCAGACACCTCCAGCCACAGTTCCGTTCCTCACAGATGCAACTGTGAGACGCGGCGGAGAGTGTGCTTAAAAAGGCCGTCTGTGGTCTGCAAAGAGGCGTCTGCAGTTCTGGTGAAAACCGTCCACTTCATGAAGAACTTGCCAGCGTTTAACCAGCTGCCACCCAGTGACCAGTTTGCACTACTTAAAAGCAGCTGGGTGCCACTTTTTATTTTGGGTTTGGCCCAGGAGCGCGTGGACTTTGAGGTGGCGGACGTCCCTGCTGACAGCATGCTGAAGAAGATTCTCCTGAACTGCCAGGAGAGCCCTGAAACAGAGCGGGAGCAGCCAACCATGGCAGGCATCAGCAAACTCAAGTCGTGTCTCAAAAAGTTCTGGAGTCTAGATGTGAGCCCAAAGGAGTACGCTTACCTGAAAGGGACCACGATATTTAATCCAGGTATGTACTGCGTTAACTGGATTCAGACAACAGATAATCCAAGGACTCGTTTGTCAAGCAACAATTCTGGTTTTCTCTCAAACAGATGTACCAGATTTGAAGGCAGGCCTGTTTGTCGAAGGCTTGCAGCAGGAAGCTCAGCACGCCCTGAGCGAGGTGGTCCAGCTGCTTCACCCTGGCAACCAGGAGCGCTTTGCTCGGATCCTCCTCACAGCCTCCATGCTGCAGGGCATCACACCCAGCCTCATCACCGAACTCTTCTTCAGGCCTGTGATAGGCCAGGCCAACCTGCTGGAGCTGCTGGTCGACATGCTCTTCAGCCGATGGGAGGGGTGGTCCTCGGGATGGTGACCTCCATGCAGCGTGCTTTAGAGGCTTCTATAAAGCACACTAGGGTTTTGACTTTCGTCCGCTGAAGCTGAGGTCACTTCACCGTCTGAGCAGAACTCCTGAGAGGTTTTTGAGTTTTGATCCTACGTGTCGATGAGCTCCTCTGCTGTAAATAAGCATCTGCATTTCCAGAAAACTTGAATAAATATATTTTTGTACACGACTGAGTCCGATCCGTGGATCCATCCTCCATTACATGTTGTGCTCAGCAAAACTTTTCAGAAAGTCAAGCGTAAGCCTGCGCGTTAAAGGAGAGAATCTAAAATTAGAATGAAAACACACATTTGTGGCTTCAAATGGAACAGAAAACCTTTTTTCTGCCTGTACTGCTGTGCTGTGTCTCCCTCTAGAGGACGTTTGGTGGAAGTTTTTTTTTCTCAGAAGACTAGCGGCAAATATTTTCTTACTTTTGCATTTCTCACAAAACCACAGCATCAAGATCCCCCCACCCCATCGTCACAAAAAGGGACATAATGGCACGAACGCTAAACTCAGCGCAGTATAAAAAACACTGTCTGCATGTAGTTATTTGAGAAATCAGGCTTAGTCATCCTACTTTGTGGTATGTTAGTTGTGAAACCCTGTCTTTACATGACAACTCGTACAGGTAAAACAGGAATGTGCTGGTGGGGGCGGTGAGCCGGTGGAAATGGGGTTACGCGTGGAAACGGCAACACAAACAAGACAAAAGGAGAGTCCAAAATGCTTCAAATCGAGTGCAAAGTGGAAAAAAACTACACATTTTTGTTGCTGCAGCAATTTTTCTTTTCAGCAGATATGAAATCATCCAAATGTTGGAGTTGTTAGGATAAGGTGGCTGTAATCTGCTAGATTTACTGAAAACTTAGAACCCGGTGCATTCAAACTGAACATCTTCATTTGAGCAGAAACAAGAAAACGTGAAACAACGATCAACGCGTCCTAAAACAGATTAGAACCAGAAACCAAACTCTTCATTCTCTTCAGGCTCCTGCAGCAAGTCTAGTTATCGGAATTGCTTCTTTCCTTTTTCCATGAATGACAAAGACAAACCTCGGGATTTTATTTCCTTTCTGTCAGAACCAGCCAAACGAGTTCCTCCTTTTGCTGAGGGCGGAAAAAGCCTCAACCTGCTAGAACGCTGACCTCGGAGACGAGCCTGCAACAATCCCAGATTCGGAAAAAAAAGGAAAAGTGAGCTGGAGAGGAAGAAACTCGAATGAAAAATGATTTCTTGGTGTATGAAAGCTACACTAATATGCCAGTATTCCACTTGTGGCTGCAAGAGAACATAAACACACTTAAATATGCAATAAAAAACACAAGAATTTAGTTTATTTTTTTAAAATACAACTTTTTGGGTAATATAAAAAAAGACACCAAACGGCACAATGCAACATCATTTCAAGAACAGTTATGGCTTCAGCACAGTTCTGCTGCTTAAACATCAGCAGCAGCAGCAAAAAAAAAAAAAAAAAAAAAAAAAAAAAAAAAACATCTCAGGTTAAAGAAACGGTAACAGATCAGCTCAGACAACACAACGCTTGTAAAACTAAAACAGGAAGGAGGACGGTTATGACCTACCACGGGGTTTGATCCTGTGGCTTTCTGACGGCTGACTGACGTTTTCAGAGAAGTCTAAATCTTTAGAACACTGATCACAGGTTTACCTAAACATCAAAAAACAACGTACACACCTTTGTTCAGGGGGACAATTCATAGCAAAAAGTGTCTTCTCCTCTCACTGGAGAACTGTAACCATCTAGAGAACGGTGCTCTGCTCAGTAACAGCATCCATGGCAGTAGCAACAGCAGTCGGGTGACACCCTTCTGCAGTAAAAGCACATCAAGTCTCTTCAGATGAGCAGAGGAGCTCCTGACGAGTGACTTCCTGTGTCGTGATGGTACGGCGAGGAGACCGTGGCGGTGCTGGAGGAATACGCTGGTGGAGAAGCAACATTTGTACAATTAAACAACTCAAACAGCGAGGGCTCTACATCATCTGCACGGGGAGGGTTTGTGCAGTGAGAAAGCTGCAGAAACACAACGTGCTGTACCCTCATTCAGAGGCGTGTAACCAGACACCTTTAAACTGCCTGTTTGCTAAAAAGCAAGTTTGAAGGGAGAAAAAAAAGCCAGTTGCACTGTAATTTATTAGTAACCCAAGTTGTTTGCTAACATGACGTAACGTTACAAGGTGTAGATTTGATGTGACTCGATCTGCTGCTTTAGCGGGAGGTGTAGCATGACCGCTGAGCTGGGGTGGGGGGGATAAAAGAGCCTGGAAGACCGGCACGGCATTAGGTGGGACTGTAATGTGCGAAGAAAAAGGAGAAGGAATGCTGTTTGTTAGAGAAGTGTGCTGCTGGAAAGTAGGGAGGAGGTGAGAGAAAGCCTGCAGCTGCAGACGGCACAATGGTTAGGGGAGATGGGAGCCTCACCATGCAGACAATCACAGACGGAGGAACGCTAAATTTTACACCCGAATTTCTCCAGACAAAAAACGGGTCAGTACACCCGTCATGGAAAACTCCCAGGTGCACTCACTTCTCCCACTGTAAGGTCTCATCTTCCTGGCCAGCTCATCCGACGGCGTCCGCTCAGACACTTTCACCTCCGGATCTGTAACACAATTAGAACTAAATAGACGCAGAAATGAAATGTGGCAAAGCAAACACAGAGGGCCTCTTAAGGGCCCTCAATAAGCTCCAGTGTGATCAATAGTCCGGTCATCTGCTCTCACAAGGTTTTGGGTTTTCCGCACTTGTATCAACTTGCCTCGGATTAGCAGATTGTTTAATAGGCCTGTAAACTGCTTTGTGTTTGAGGGTTTATAAACAAAGACAGCAGAGTCCCAGCAGACACGATGAGTCACCGAAGGGGAAACGGGTCAGATGTTTGTTATTTCTGGCCTTCTGCTGAACAAGACAAGTGGAAAAGTCTACTGCACCGATTATTATTGCGAGACAAAAACGGTGTCATGCAACTCTTACAGTCGCTGCTCATGAAGGTCATGGTCTCGGTGCCGCTGTCGGGGAGCGTCCCGTCGTTCCTGCCGTTGGGACGCTGCGCCGCTTGTTTGTGGCTGGGGTTTTTCTTCGTCTTCCTCGTGCTGATGCGGATGACCCCGTGCACCAGCTTGCACTCGGCCTCCTGCTCCTCCAGGTTGTAGTTCTGGGCGATGCTGTAGATGAGCTCGCTGATCTCGTTGGTTTTGCGGGAGAAGGACTGGTCGGATGTGCACTTGGCAAGCTCTTCGATCTGATGCAATGCGTAGAGCTCCAGCAGCTTCTTGGTGATGAGAGAGTCCACATCCGTGCTGTCGCACGGGTCGTCCAGATCGTAGTAGTCGTTGGACAGCAGGCTGGTGTTGCTGACTGGTCGCTGGCTCTCCCCCTTAGCAGGTGCACGGGTCCGTTTGGGGGCGTTCACCGGGTAACTTACGATCTCCCCCCTGAAGCGAACATCTTGGTATCGGAAGCTTTCATTTGCAGGTAAATTGGAGTGTTTTTTGGGTTCCAAGGTGATGTCACGTGTTGGGTTGCTCAAGGCCATGCCATTGGGAGGCTCACTGCCCATTTTATGTGGGTGGTCGGTGGAGCTTTCATTAACAGGCAGACAGGGCTCCCGGCTGCCGTAAAAGCCACAGGTCAGCAAACAACAGAGGAGAGCCTTGCAGCTATTCCAGCCCCTTGAAGCGCAGGAGCCACAGGTGGGCCTGCTGGTGGGCACGCTGTCTGCTGACCCTGGAATAAATCCTATAGTCTCTGAGCTCCGGGCCGTGCCGTTCCGTGGGTGTCCTCTGCCGTGACCGTACTTGTTCTCTGCATACCGGGGGCGCTCGTTGTGCTGATGATCTCCATGATGATCCCTGTAGAAGTCGTGCTTAGCAGCCCCGTCCCGGTATGCGGGCCGGGTTTGCCTGTACTTGTCAGTCCTGGACCCTGAGGTGTGGGGATGGTGGTGGCTGGGTGCCTGGGGAGCTCCCCTGTTGTGGCCAGGCATGGCTCAAAGGACCTGGGACCTGAGGAAGAGGAATGTTTACAGGTTAAAGCCGTGTCAGCTCAAAACAACCTGCAGAACCACTTAACCTGCGGACTCGAGAGTATTCAGAGAAATAGCACTGAGCACTACTCATCATCGGCTCGTCCTGACTGGCCAGGCCCTTCCTCAGCTCCGCTTTCATCCCTGAGCTGCTCTGCTGGACTTACCGCATAAAGAGGGAACAGCTGTGCTCGTCTCCCAGCGAACGAACCGCGGAAGTCTCAGACTCCTGCTCGCGCTTCAAACCGAGAGAAAACGAGACGGAGGTTGAAACCTCGCAGACTTCCAGGTGAGTTGTTGTTTAAAACTCCAAAACGACCGACTTTCCCAACCTAAAGCCCGGAGTCCGGAGCCGCGACCGGGACACGCGCGCCCGCTCATTCGCCTCGTCGCTGGTTAAAAACCCGAGTCTCTCCCAATGTTTGGCTATTACCTGCGGCTACAGCTAATCCCAGATCCTAAACACCCACCCACAGGTGAGTCGTGACGTCACGCCGAGCGGATATGAGCGGAAGGGGAATTCAGAAGGGTTACCTTTCGATTTTTATTTTGGCGCAGTAGTTCGTGACGCAAAAACATTTAGCATTAAATTTAACAGATTTTCACTTTTTAAAATGATTGAGCATGCTTTGAAAGGGCAGGGCTGACATGCGCACAGCTGCACAGGCAGCAGCAGCAGGTGTGTTTCCAAACATTATATTTCATTTTGCCCCATTTTCACTGTCTGCCCACACTTAATCACACTCGCCTCACCTGCAGGAAAGCACAGCGCCCAGCAGAGTCACAGAAAGAGGGCAAAGAACAATTAAATCCAGAGTTTATTCAGAATTAACATGTTTATCGTCATCCAACAACAATCTATAGGCCTGCTAATATATGCGAAATTAGGGGCACTAACTGGGTAAACAATAATAGTAATAAATAATCGTTTCACCACAGCAAATACTAATATTTTATGTGCTGTGTGTGTGTGTGTGTGTGTGTGTGTGTGTGTGTGTACAATCATTGACTACTAATGCAAAAAGAGATAAAATTATAATTTAAGCTATTTAAAATGTGGCTAAACAAGCACAGTGTAAACTTTACTGGTTTGACTAAAAAAAAGACACATTTCAAGCAGAGCCGTGTCCAGGACTTTTAAAATGGGGTGGCCCATGGGTGGCACCAATGGTTATGCTTATTTATTTATTTACACAAATCGTTTATTTATTTACTTTCTAGTGAATTTTTGAGTGTCACGTTGCACAATCACAATTTTTTCCCCCTCTTCATCTTCTACTTTTGTGGTGGTTAGCAAGTCACTTCTTGTCATTACTGCCACCAACTGGAGTTGAGTGGGACTCTAAATATTATGTATGTGAATATGAAAAATATTAAATAATATTAATACTGCATACCTGGGCTAGAAAACAAGGTGAAAGGTGCATGCAACCACACACTATTTTGGAGTTTACAACCCAAGCCTTTTGTCGACAATGTAAAGTCAATTTAAACTGGAACTTAGTGTGGTGGCACCTGGGGTGGCCAATCAGATTCCAAGGGTGGCATGTGCTACCCCAGGCCACTCCCTGGACACGCCCCTGATTTCAAGGCTGCCTTTAAACGATGGGTTGTATTAATATAATATAAATATTAATGATTAAAATTCCGATTAGTTTGAGTTAGTAACTGGTTGCAAAATCATCCAAGTTAATTCAGTTTTATGTAAACCTTTTGATCAAACTGATGAGTTAATTAAAAGATGGGGTTAATCAAATAAATAACCTAAGAGCGTTGCTCTTGTTTGGTTTGCATTTTTAATTTCTAGCAGCTGTTTGGGGTTACAAACAATTGTGACTTCTTGAAAATCATTTTTGTTTCGGCAGAAAACACATTTTTAATCTTCAGCTGGTTTAAAATTCAATAATATGGACATGGGATGGCTTATTCGTGGAGTTTTTATTTAGCACAATTGTTTAATTAATGGTTTCATTTGATTAAAAATCCACCCCAAACTCTAATGATGAAACAACAAACAGGAAGAAGCTCAATTCAATGAGAAAACTTGCCTTACGATCACAAAGGCACTTTCAACAAGGGTTTTAAAGGTTGGAACTGCGTCAAATTCACAGAAAATCAAATTTTGTTAACTAATTACACTCAAACATCAGAAGTCAATTTGATGGGGAGGTAGTTGCCCGTTTCACGTGTGTTTCTGTGGGGTCCTGGACAACGCAGGTGTCATTAGGCAGCTGCTGAGACGGGGCCAGTCCTCCATGCTTCTGCGGCCTGCTGCTGTCGGCTGCAATGCGCCCCAGCCGAGGATCTGAGTCGATCTCATACCGGTAGTGGTACCCCTCTAGAACGTCCCTGCAGGCATCTCTCGTTTCTATGATCCATTTCTTCATGCCGTTGCGATTCAGGTAAAGCACAAACAGGAAAATCATGCCCACGAGGCCTAGAACCAGACCCAGGAAGACGTACGACGTCTGCAGCGTGAGGTCAGTCACCTCAGGGAGAACTGGAGAGACACAACCAATGGCCTGGACAGTGAGTCCCTGCAGCCGGACATTGGTTACACCTGCTGGTGACACACATCTGACGGCATCCACATCCACCTGGGCTCTGGAGTCATTCAGCCACGTGACAAACTCTCGGATCTCACAAGAGCAGGTGTACGGATTGTCACCGAGAAGGATTCTGACATTCCCGAGCCTCTCCAGCTCTTGTAGAGCATCATTCCTGAAAGTCCCAAAGGCATTGTGTGTCAGATCCAGGGTCTCCAGGTGATCCATGCCAGAGAAGGTCCCGCTGTAGACAGCCACCAGCGAGTTGTTGGACAGAAGGAGCTGCTGTAGACTGGGGACGTGGGAGAACATCCCAGGTGGAAGCAGGGCCAGACGGTTTCCAGAGAGGTCAAGGCGGAGGAGCCCCCAGAGGCCACCCCAGCGCAGAGCCGTGGCGAGGTCTGTCAGGGCGGTGAAGTTGAACAGAGAACAGCTCAGGTCGAGCTCTTGGAGAGGACTTCCAGGGATGCTGAGAGCCTCTGGATGGATGAGGGCTAGCTGGTTCCCACTGAGGTCCAGGAATCTCAGGTTGATGAGGGCAGAGAAGGTGTGGGCCGCCAGCTCTGTGATCCTGAGAAGATGATCGACACTGTGAAACCTCCTTAAAGACACAGCAGGTGGTTTCCTTTGCTTGGAAATTCATCTAACATGGTTTTGTTCAATACATCCTTAACTACCACAGTATCAGTATCGTGACTCTGTGCTGCTCTTGATGCCTTCGTCTGATTTATAGGATGGCATCCCAACGTGTCAAAACACGCGAAGAGCTGGGAGCATCCGGATTCATTTCTCGCTAGGGATGCAACGATACCACTTCTCTCCAAACTGTTACTTGGATCTGAGTACTCGTCGATACCGATTACTGATACTTCTACCACACAAAAAATGCTATGAATCGGAATGCAGGTTTTATTTTCTTCTCTGCTTTCATGAGGAAAAGACTGTGAGGTAGATAAAAATATACATATTAATAGAAATGATCACAAAACTAAAATAATTGGTGAACAGAAATGACAAGTTACAGTGAAGCCACTTTCAAGCTACTGCATTGGTATCGGTTCACTTTTACCGATATCGATACTGGTATCGGTTCACTTTCACCGATATCGATACTGGTATCGGTTCACTTTTACCGATATCGGTACTGGTATCGGTATCCCGATTTCTCACTATATCAACATGAAGTAATTTGCCTCAGAAGCCACGTTCACAGACATAACCTTTATTTCTAAAGTCAGACACGCTTAATGTACACAAGTGAAGCAAAACGCTGAAGTTCTCACCTGTTGTTGCTCAAAATGACGTTTGTGACATTCTCCAGCTCTGAGAACGACTCCGCTCCAATCTGATGGATGTTATTCCCAGTGATGACGACAGTCCGGGCATACCCCGGAATGTTTTGTGGCACTCTGAGCAGAGACTTGGACACACACTTCACAGTGTGAGTGACGGCGAAACACTCGCAGCCAAGCGGACACCCCGAGCACTGGTAGGGTGCACAAAAGAGAACTCCCAAAAACAAACGCGTTGCAAAAATGCACATCTTTAATCTGCAGCCAAACGGTAATAAGCTAAAAAAGAAATCAAACTACAGCACAGGAGCAAAAGTGAACAAATTTAATGCTGCTCGTTTCTGCGGCTGACTCTCCTAGTCGGCTTCGCTGTGGGAATAAAGGTTCCTATAACCTGATGGTGCTTCATATCACACAGAATCTGTGAGATAAAAAAAAAAGGTATGTGGTTCCCTTAAAGATACAGAGGACAATAAGGGCGATCACCGTCTGCCTGAGGAGGCAGGGCAGCAACCTCATTAAACTCACCAAACTATTGGAAATTGAGTAAAATGCACAACAATAAATTAGATTATTTATCACGCAGATTTAAAAACAAGATGATAATCCAGCATGAGATTGTACAGTTGGAAAACATTCAGTTTGTCTGAAAAAAATAAAAATAAAACAGATTCAAATAACAACAACACAACTTTTCACATGCGAGTCTCTCATCATTCTATCTCTGGTGGCGACTCAAATCTTCTGGATTAACAATCAATTAGGACTCACGGCTTTGAGATTATTTTATCCATTTTAGTTTACATCCTCAATAGAATTAAGATTAGACCTCCAAAAACTCCCAATCTAAACCTTCATTCATGAAAACTGCATCCTGCTGAAATCTCAATCCCATGGAGGGGAGTTTTGATATTTTCAAAATAAAAGACCATTGTGTGAAAAGGAAGGAAGCACTGGTAGTGTTCCTCACTTAAACTAAACGGCAAAAAAAAAAAAGCTTTGCTCTCAATGAGACGTTGCAGTCCTTTGTCTGGCGTGTTCTGTCCCAATGTTTGCTCAGTCCGAACACCGCTCGTACCAGCAAGTGTGCAAAGCCGTCTGCGCCGCTACAGGCTGAGCGTCAGGATGAAGGTGGTGAGGACTCCGGACAGCATGACGAAGGGCAGCCAGGTTTTCAGGAAAGCTGCCCAGCTGGGGAACAAAAACAGAGAGTAAGAGGAATTAAAAGTAAGCAAAGGAAAAACTTTAACTCCCACAAGCCCACACCAAGTGCCGCTGTCCACCCCGCCCGCCGGCGCAGGGAGCTCCAGCAGAGCGGTGACCTCCAGCGGCGGTGCAGTCGGGGAGCGCTGCTGTCGGTGATTAATTACACAACTCGCCTCCTGAGCCGTGGGAGTGTATACGAAGACGCCGCACACCCTGGCTGCACTGTTCTCTATGTGGGTCAGTGGAGAATAATGAAGGGGGGTTGCTCTCTCTCATTGCAACGATAACCCAGCCACGGCACGGACTTATTCCAATGAAGAGACAGGGAGAATATTAAATATCAAACTTATTTTCCAGATGATGCAGTTATCTTTCTTCCATAAATAGTTTTCTACCTCAGAGGATGGATTCGGAGCTCAGCTTTATTCCTGTTTAGTTTAAAGAAGCTCTTTGGAGATTGTAAATGTCACGTTTTCAAAACCGTCAGTTTGCTGAATAACGTGGCCTGGTCAAGCTTCTTCACTTCGGTACCAAAAACCAGGTGATGTCACTTCATTTAGCCTTCAGCGTCCTCAAAGCAAAGCAACACTTACCTCACGTGTTTCCCATGAATAAACGACAGCATGCACAGGTTCACCATGTTCCAGGAGGTGCTGTTGTTGTATCGCATCAGGTTTAGGGCCAAGGCAACGTGGGAGTGGCAGTTATCAAGGCACAAATTGTGCTTCAATAATTAAAAAAAAGCATAATGTTAATATCGATGTGGTAACAGGCAGTAATAAAAGCTCCTGAACGAAGTCATACCGGCCTGCATTTGTATTCCTCGGATGCATCGTGCACTGCTTGGTCCCATGTGGCGGCGCCGTTGCCACAAACCTTGTCCACGTCCAGTTTCCAGTACCTGCAACAATAGCTACCATCAGTGTGCTCACTTCAACCCTCCTTCAGAAAAAACACAGGCAAGAATCGTATTATTTAACTTACTTTGTTGGCCGGCCAAACCCCATGTTGTCCTCCTGGACAGCAAGAACAAAATGTAACATTTCAAGTTTATGAAGCTGAGTGAGTTTATTGCTGAAGAGTATGTTGTGATTGTGACTAAATCATAAATGGCCATCGGGGTAGCATCAGTGCTGCAGCATGTGAAATGCTTGCATGATAAATAGTGGTGATTTTAGGCTATTTGCTTGAGCACTCCTAAATCTAACTTTGCCCTCTGAAAATAAAGATCTGATTTTTGTAGAGCACACTAATTATTACCTAGACTTACCAAATATTTAAGATAAACTAAATGATAAACCACTAAACTCTAAAAACACAGTTGCTAATATAAATTACGCTACTTTTAATTTGAAGTCAGCTTTTATTTTGAAAGCCACAGCAATTTTCTTGAGCAGCCCTAAATAAACCTGACACTGCAGCTACTCTCTGCTGTTGAAACAGCAAAGGAAACGATGCATTTAAACTGATGGACAAGTCCAAAATAAAGAACATATTTCAGTCATCCAGAATTAATCCTATCCATAAACATTTCAAATATCAGAAACATCTCCTGTCTATGTAATAAATTGTATTCAGAGTATTTGTATGTTTGTTTTAGGCTCCTGATCCCTACGGGTGAATTATTCCTGTAATGAAAGAATGTTCGTGGTATAAGTAATTTTCAAAAAAAGTACTGATAAAAAAAGTCCTGTAAATCGGAAGTGTCTTTTTTATTTAACATTAATTAAATAATGTTTTATTTTTAAAGGAAACGTTAAACCTGTCTACGATTTATTAGTAGGAATGTCAAATTAGATGTATATTAATGTAAATTCTGATAATTATAATTTTGATCGAAAGTCGACATTCATCATGTTATATACTTATATGTTAAAACGACTTGCCATACCATTTAGAACTCACCGAGACAAAATAAGATCCTGCGAAATCTCTGATGACTCCCGCTGAGGTGCAAATGCCCATGTGACCGACGAAGGGAAGCACCCACCTGCATGATCAATGAGCCACCTCATGTGTTTGGTTGTGCAACACAACACAGAATATATTGAACATAACCATGAAATATATCAAAACACCACCCAGCCACAACTAATCCGTATCATGTTCAGGGATAACACGTTGCGTTAAGCTAGCAAATCGCTGGAATGCGTTAGCTTCTTACGATAAAATTGGAATAGGTGTCCAGACAACGCAGTAAGGATAGCGGCAGCTCCTCCTCTCTGTCTTTGAGAAATCACCGTGGTAGTTCATCATTATGTCGGATTCGTCAACCTCCGCCATCACCGTCTGTGGTCAGGAATGACAGATGACGTAAAGAGGCAGGGTGGAGGCGGAGCCATGAATTCCGACAGACGGATGTGTCCGTGAATCCGACACGAGTTGTTGCGTTCATGGTCCGTGTCAGACAGTCTATGATCCAAACATCCGGTGATAGAACATGAAGTTAGTTGGTCACATGTATTCTGTAAATCATGTTATGTTGATGACAACTATATAGGTCATAAAGAGAAATATGTTTTGTGTTCTTTTGTCACGTTTTCTATGAGCACACTAAAATTACAGCAGCTAACCTTTACTTATGTAGCAGGATGAGGTAATCTGCTCCTGACTTTAATACCAGGTGTTATTTATTAAAATCAGGAGCAGATTACCTCATCCTGCTACACTTATTATTACAGTCATGTCTTCATATAGAATATTTGATATCCACAAGCACGTGATGATGTGTTTCAGCTGCTAACAGGCACCAGAATTAAAATAGAAAATTAAACAAGTGTGAACTCTAACGCGATATATTCAGCCATCGTCACCCCCGAGTTGCACATGCAGGATGCACTTATGAGAACGGTGAGGCGATCCTCTGTGTAGAAGCCATTGTTCTGCAGATGTTCTTCATGCAGTGTACTTTTATTTCTGGCAGTTGTTAAAACCACCGTGCTTCTCGCTGACATCAATGATTTCTCAAATGTCAATGAAGTTTACAAGCAGTGTGAGTATGTTGGCTTCCCCTCTATAGATACGAGCTGTTGTACAACCCTGACCGCTGCGTGTCAGCACAAACTAGCTATACCACAAGTCCCATTTATTTAGCATAAGGAGCCTTTAGATCTGCCCGCTTTGCCCATCTTTCCTTAGTTTACTCCATCTATGTTTTTATATTCCCTACTTCTAAATAAAGTGATGTTCTGTCTGGAAGAGTTTTTATGGCTCCATGCTGATGTGAGGAGAGATCACCACATGTTGCATAAGCCAGTTAAACACCGAAACCAGAGATGATTCAATGTTACTGTAGGGTTAATGACCTAAACATAGGAATTAAAGGCTGTTGCTATCAGCTTATATTTTAATTCCTAAGATCAAACAAATTGACGAATGAGATTATATATGGATATATAAATATAATAGATATAAATTCATACACCAACTTGCTTGGTCTATGTTTAATCAAAAGATTATATTTATTTTTAAAGATTTAATTTAATAGCAAAGATTATTTGTTAATTCAGAAGATCTAAAGATCTTTGCCTGTTCAGTGATCAATGTACACCCACTCTGTGTTTATTTCAAGAAAGAGTCAAGTTTAAGAAGGTTAAGAAATTTATTACTAAACAATTATAAAACATGACAATTTATAAAAGACTTTGATATTAAAAAGACTTTGGTATTAAAAAAGCAACCCTGTGTTTGGATGAATCTAATATGAAGTGTTTGTTTGCAGGTGAATGCAATGTCTCAGAACGTGTCTGGCACAGGTGTGTTCTCTGGAGGGCCCTCGGTCGACGCTGTAGCGTAATGGTTTATTGACGTTACAACTCGCAGGTGCAGTCAGAGATCAGGGTCAGCCAGTGTGGTCACAGGGTGGCATTCAACCTTCCCCCTGTGGTAGGCGAGTCACCAACGTCAGGTCTAGAGGTCACTAGCACCAGCTGTAGGAGTAGGGTCAGTGATGTTGTCAGCCCCCCCCTTCGGCAGGTGGCATCCCCACCGCAAGGTACTGGGCTTCAGCTGGAGTCTCGGTGCCACCATCAACTCCCCTTCGGCAGGTGGTGTTCCCACTCCAGTGTGCGGAGTCTCAGGTGCAGTGCCACTGCAAACTCCCCTAGGTTAATGTTGTTTATGCTTGACGCATCCGCGAGGTTGCGTCATTTTAAGAACCACGCGCCTCTGCACGGCCCAAAATTTCCGCACCGCGCACCTAGGAAATTTTCTAACCATGCGGACGGTCGGACGCGGAAAAACATGGCGGACTGGCAAGAACTAGTATGGCAGAGGTTCGTAAATACATACATTTGTATGATTCAGCTCTCAAAGATCACCGCGATCAACACGTTGTTAATAATTCTTGGAGAGAAATAGCTCGCACTGTCGGAAAAGACGAGGAAGCTGTTAAAACATGCTGGAATGCCATGTTGTAAACAGTAATTTTTACTTCTACTATGGTGTAGTGTTGGATGCATGCCGTAGAGCTCTATGCTGCCCCCTACAGTTTGAGAGAATATTAGCTCACCGCAGAGACAAGCCGCATGAACCTATAAACGCTGCAAGTTGTGAAGCGCGTTCCATCCGCGAGCCGCATCACCAAGCGGAAAGTGAATGCGTCAAGCATAAACCAAGCTTAAGGTGGTTTTCCCACCCCCGAGTGAAGCAATCTTGCTGCAGAGACGACACAGACTCTGTGGGTGTCACTGACCTTGGAGGCTGTGGATCGACTGGTCACTCTGACAGCGCCGTTGTAGTTAACAACACCTAGAGAGGGAATGACACGAACACGAAAGAGAGCCCATAGCTCAGGAACGGAGTCAAGCTTGACAGGAGAAGGCAGATGAGCTGTCGGATCAGAAAGGTACAGGATCATCCTGCTAATATCAGAGTCCTGGGACTGAAGACTGACAAGGTTGTTTTCAGAAAAGACAAGAAGAACAGACTCAAAACCATCGGACGGTCGAGAGGTGGACGCGTTAACGGCCTGAGCTCAAGTCACGACACACACACGGGGTGGGTTTGACCGAGAAGACACACTGTCAGGGAGCCACAAGGGGTTAAAGGACCATGGGGTACCAACAGCTGCACCTTGTTTGGCAAGAGAGTCTGCAATCAGATCCTTATCAGTTCCGGGTACACGAGAAAGACCTTTGACTTCACGCCAATAGATCTGCATGTCATGTGATGTCGCTAGGGTTATCACAAGCCATGAAGAGGTCTTGATGCTTAACGGGCTTCCGGTTAGAGGTTAAGAACCCGTTAATTTTCCAAGAAGGTAAGGGAGGTGGTGGAGGACCTAAACTTGGAGACGGCCACAGAAAAGGAACGCTCAGAAAGATAGGAGGAGAACCACTCCAGAGCCGTTCCTGATAGAACTACCCAGTCTCTCAGCCTCTCCAGTAGCAGGTGATGGTCAACAGTGTCAAAAGCTGCAGTCAGGTCCAGCAGGACCAGAACAGAACAGTCCCCTGCATCACTGAGTCAGAAGGTCATTAGAGACCCTAAGGAGAGCTGTTTCAGTAGAATGAGCTCTACGAAAACCTGACTGGAAGCTATCATAGATGTTATGTTCATCAAGGGCAGCTGTGAGTTGTTTAGCCACAACCTTTTCTAAGATCTTGGAGATGAACGGAAGTTTGGAGATGGTCTGAAGCTGCTATGGAGAGAGGGGTCAAGACTCATTTTTTTAAGAAGCGGGTGGATTACAGCGTTCTTAAAGTAAGCAGGGACCTGACCAGAAACCAGAGAAGCATTAATTATAGAGAGCACGCTGGGACCGATGGACTGAAAAGCATTTTTAAACAAAGATGAGGGTAAGATGTGGAGGGGGCATGCAGAGGTCTTCATAGAGTTAACTAGTTTGGTGAACTCAGGCAAAGAAACAGGAGCAAAGCTATCTAGGATGATGGGCCTGGTTGGAGTCGGGAGAGGCAGCGATAAGGCTGAAGGAGAGATGCTAGAGCTAACCTTATTGACTTGTCCACAAAGAAAGACAGAAAGTTCTCACAGTTTGCAACAGAGAGGATGGAGGCTGTAGGAGAGGCAGGAGAGACGATGCTGCTGATGGTGTTAAACAGCACCTTGGGGTTCCCTTTGCTCTGGGACACCAGGTTGGAAAAATAGGAAACCCTAGCGTCTCTGACTGCAGAGTTAAAGGATGTCAGAAGATCTTTTAGGTGCAGCAGATGGACGTGGAGATGAGTTTTCTTCCACAAACGCTCAATTTTTCTGCATTGGCACTTCAGGCTGCGAAGGCTGTCATGAAACCAGGGAGTAGGGTTCACTGCAGGAACTGATCTGGTTCTGACAGGACAGATATTGTCCAGAATGGAGAGGCAGTGATCGTTAGACTGAGAAGGTAAGGAATCTGGGTCGTTATCAGAAGAACAGGGTGGATCAAAAGCGGCAGAAAAATTGCTAGCTGTGCTCTCATTAAGAAAACGAGAACTAACCATACGGCGAGCAGGAGGTGGGGACGCAGAAACTGACAAGCTAAAGAAAATGCAATGGTGATCAGAAGTAAAAACAAGGTCCAGAGTGTGCCCCCTGGTGTGTGTGGGGCCAGAAACATGATGGGTAAAGCTGAAGGAGTCCATAGTGCTGGAGAAATTCATGGCAAAGTGATGGGAGGGATCATCAACGTGGATGTTAAAGTCACCAACAATCACCAGTCTGGACAGCTTCACAGTGGAGGATAGAAAGTCACTAAACTCCTGAAGGAAAGAAGTGTTTGGACCAGGTGGACGATAGACCACAGCACAGTAGAACGGGTCCTTACACCCGACTTTAATCAGCTGCAGTTCAAAGGAAGCAAAGTGACCAGAGGTTGTAGAGCTACGTGGAAGATGGTCTCTGTAAACAACAGCTAGGCCTCCACCACGACCAGAACCCCGGGGCTGGCTAAGAAAAGAATTACCACTCGGGCAGAGTTCAACCAGACCAGAATATCGTGGGCGATCGTGAACAAACGGAAGGACAAAAGAGTCTGGCGATCATAGGAGATGGCAGCAGGGACACTACTGAAGAGTATCGCAGACAGGAGCAAGGTGGAAAAGAGGAGGTTAGTGGAGAAAAGTTTGAAAAAGTGGCCGGTGACTGCGGCTAAGCCAAGCACAGGCGCCATCTTGTTACCGACCGGAAGCGGAAAGAAGGTCACTGGCCGATGTTGTGTTTCAATGACGATGATTTTCTGTCCACCAATGTAGCTGGAAACGTGTTTAACTGCCCACATGGTGGAAAGCAAAGCTTTTCACAGTCAAGAGTATTTAAACTCAGGACCGGACAAGAGCTTACTAGCATATGCTACGACACGCCTGTCACAGTCATATACTTGATAAAGACCGACACTGAAGCAGTTAGATGAGAACACGACCTCAAGGTGGA